TGGGCAGCCTCGTTATAATTTCGAGTATCCAGTCACTCAGCGATTTATTACACTAATCAAATTCTACCGGCATATCCTTCATTATAATGGAAGGAAGTCCTTCGATAAAGTCGAAGCCAGTCTTGGTCGTTCAAGAATTAAGGTATCGAGTATCACGTTGAGCGATTAACGTCTGTTAAATTTTCGGCTGTACAGTCCGCGACAGAATTATGCATAAGGATCAAATTTATTTATATATTATGTTCCTCCGTGAGCGATTGTCGATTCAGCTTGTGCGGCGAAATAAGTCTTGGAGACGTGCCGTAAGCCTGTCGCACTGATGAAATACCAAAGGACCAAGCGACCCGGCGAGAGGCCTCGCGAGGTGCCAGGATCGAGATATTGTCTTTTGGCGGGAGGCTTAGGAGGGAGAGGAGGACCCTCGGATATTTGTTCATTCAATTGTCGCGCAATGTGTTTTTCGACTCGTTGAGCCAATATCAGCTACTTCGTGTCAATAGAAGAAATTCAGAAGGCCTCGGGCCTGAGGTGTCTCATTCTGTATATCTTGGCACTTACGCGATAGACGCGATAGATGGGAGCTTATGTTTACGAGAGTAAGAAAAAGGGAAAGGAAGAGGGCAGGGAGAATAAATACACGAGGATTTCGTTTATGGAAAGTGCAGCATAAATTGAATTAGCATCGGGCTGCAGGAATCGAATAAGAAAAATAAAGAATTCCCTTGGTCGCTGTGTAATGGAAGAGACAGCGTAGAAAAATGAAAGGGCTTCGTGAGGCAACCCGATCTCTGGACGCTTTTGCTTAATTAACAGAGATCTTAACGCGAATCCAATAATTCCCGTGTTGAAACGGTGCGAGGTATTATGCAATGTAATAGCTGGGACGCGGTCTACTAATTAACTTTTCGCAAAATTATAGAAGCAGTTCGCGGGAGACTGGGAGAACGAAGAGCTTACAGTTATGTGATTATATGGATATTTTTTGTTGGATAGGGGTAAAAGCAATATCGGCCTGATCCTGATTTTCCAATTAAAGTCCTGAAACGAAGAGTATTTATTGTATCAAATGACAATTACGTAATCCGCAATTGAACGAGTCTGCAAGCCACTCGTGCGTTTGCTACGTAAATTGCATTAGGATAATATTATCTGTCGACGCTGATCGATAAGCGATTCAACTTTATAGACCATTCGCGTTGTCGAGTTTATAAGCGTAATGCATTATTTTGTAAAATTCCCGCTGGTAAAATTCTCTGTGTAATTAATGAAATGATATAGAGAAACTTTGGATGTTCGTTTCGACGCCCTAAAATAGACCCATGTATCCGGATATACATATTTAGTGCATTTCTGAGTAATCGGACCAAGTTAATATTCATTAGCCTGAAAATTTCATTTCACGACGCGACGGGCCGGATTGTGAAAATAATCTCTCACATTTTTAGATATGTTTCGAATGCAAGTCTGACGGCATTGAAGATGACATAGACAATTTACGAGTAAATTAATACATGGAGAAAAAGCACACCGAATGAAAATAGTTACGTATGGAAATTGTTCGACCCAGCAAAATTTTTTCTATAAAAATGTGAAATAAAAGTTTTAAAAAAGTACTATTATTCACTAATCGAAACTAATGATACCATGAAAATAGCAATATACATGTACAAGTATGCGGTCCCTGAGTACGTGATCGATTTCAATACGTGGACGGTCCGATTCCATTAAAGTGAAAGAATTGAAAAATCCGTACAATACAAAAAACAGACAGACTAATTTTTTATTTTTTATCCCTCGCAGTGATAACTTCAAATGGCTTACGGTGCACAGATGCTATATTAATTTTCTATGTCGTTCGCCCTTTACCTTCTGTCCACGTGTCACTCGTTAATTAGAGCAGCACGTTGTGTCCCTCGAATATTAATACGAGCACGAGTGTTCGTTTTACGAATCCAAAAAGTGTACGTCTGGAGGAATTAGCATTGTTCCAGACATGCGTGCGGGCAATGAATAAAAAAAATTTGAGAAAATTCATGAAAAATCATAATACGATTCGAGAATATTGTGCGTCTGCAATATTGGCTCGTCAAAGAAATCTGCCGATTGGTCCGAGTGCCTATTCTCTCTTGATAGCTTTTCCTTTCTTTCTTGTTCATTAATCAAAAGTTATCCCCTTGACGAGTCCCAACATTTCCAATCTATCCAGTGATATTAACGTTCCCCTATTTATACCGCAAATGATGCTGTCGAGTGTCCAGTCATTCCAACGATATAATGTAACACAGTAGTAGTAATAATAATAAGAATAAAGAGAATAGAAATTTCAGCCGCAGCTCAAGTAACATAAATCTTTCTTGAGAATATGAACAAACGTGACCGAACAATAGGTAAAATAAGCGAAATGAATATTATTACGTTTCGCGAATAATAATTCGCAGTCTCGCCTTGTATTCTATCTGTATCGTGTAAATATTACAGAGCATTCAGAAAAACGGCGCATCCAACGACGCCATAATGAAACAATACCCAGCGCGTGTTTCTACCTCAGAATTGGGAAGCAGCCCAAATAAACAGCTGCTACCAGCAGTCAAGTCCTTTTAAGTGGGAATGTCTACAGGATACAAAGATTGGAATCAATGCCTGTTGCATTGTTCACGGGATTTCGGTAACGGCAGAGCCAAGTAACGAAGATCCAGATTTTATCTCCATTTATATGAAGAATACCAACAAAATTATTCCAGTGGTTCTCAGCGTCTTCGAACGCAACGAGCTAGCCTCAAATCCTTGGAGACTTCTTGCATCGCGGCGCGATTAAATATGCATGAAGTGCGGCTGTAAAATGCGCAACGTTTAAAAAGTTGAATATGCATAGAGCTACTACAGAAATATGAGCACGGGACCAGAAAGTTACCCACCTTGGAAAATCTATAGGATTTTACTCTAGGTAAACTTTCTATCCCATCCTGCCTCGCGAGGGGTATAACCAGGGTCGCCGTTTTCCTTCACTTCGTTAACTTTCCTTCGGACCTGTATTTCCCTTAATTCCAATTTCAAATCGAATTTGACCATATCCCCACCACCCACAGTCACTCACTCATGCTCGATTTACAGAGTTTACAGTGGCCGGAATGGAATTAGACACGGGTTTTGACTGCGGACAATACTTGTCTCTGAATAGTCGGGCTCACCCTGCATGGGGTTTGCTTTTCATTTTCCACGTACGAGTCCACACGTGTACACCAACGTACAGGTGGTACAACGTAGTCTGGTACGCAGGGACATAATTTTGAAACAAATGAATGGCGGCTTCTAATGGATTCGCGTTGTTGCGACAGGATTGCAACGTGAACAAAGCTCTTTTCGCGATGCCGACACTGAAATGCAACGATGTCCCACGTACTCCCAATACCGCACGGCTCTATAGTTTATTGAGTTTTCGTAAAAGCTTCGTTATGTTCGGCGGGTTCTCGTTAAAGTGTTCTCGCGGAAATATCGAAAAGGCGCTAATGTGGACGATGCCGAAATATGACGGGGATAAAAAAAAAGAATTATTATTGAGCACCCTATAGATATCGGATTCATAGTAAAAAATTGAGAATGCTTATAAAATCTAATGTAAAATTAAAATCCTAATTTCCCGAAGACTGTTTATGCAATTCCAGGCCGTAAGTCGTCGTCGAGAAAGCAAACGTTGAGTTTAAATATAAAACGTTAGAAGCGGCTAGGATATAAAGCAGAATATATACATATTCCTAGAGAAATTTTTGATCGAATCGACCTAAATTCCTTAATTCCGAATAAATGGCGTCACATCGAGTGGCTCGTGCCGAATTTTCGTACTTTCCATTGAATTCACTTCAGCAGCAGGACTCGCAAGTTTTCCCAGAACACAATAAAAATCCAAGCCTAAATGTAATATCGTGTTACTCCGTAATCAGACAGCATCGATGCCTACGAAGTAGGGATGAAAATAGATAGACTCTATGACATCAATCATAGTCCCGATAAGATCGATAGGATCGACAAGTCGAATCTTAATGATCGATCGAAATCCTTCAAAACTTCGGAGCACGATTTGAATAAAATTTTTTCAAACGATGATTTCATTAAATTATTTCAGAGTACTTTATTTTTTTCCGTCTTATCTGTACATATAGTATACATATACGTGTACTGGTCTTAAGGCCTCGTTCACAACGAAAATACTTGCTAGTACCGTATATACTCTTACTGGTAGACTCTCCCAAGTGGTTCCTCGTCTCTCGCCCTGCGCCTCCCTCTCCTAATCTTTATACTGTTTAGCTTCCGAGCCGACAGACACGCTATAAGACAGTCATCCAGTCATCCAGTCATCTTGTAACAACCGTTCGGGCAGTGCCGGCTGGCTCGGCATTACGAAAGCCCGGGACTCTTCTCCACGTGCTCGAGATCAGATCCCAAGATTACGTGGTCATCTGGAAATCGATCGTTTACCGATTTTCTCGAGAGTTCCACTCGTTACAGCATCCCTCGGGATCACTCTTGGGCAGATTGGACCTCTTAAGATGTTGCTCGTATGGATCCGCGTGTGCCGTTACGTAAAATAAATAGGAAGAAATTCTTGAGTTTTAATCGTTAAAGTTTTCGAAAGTCATGAGGACCCAGCGGCGAAACAATGTGGATAGAACCTAATTGGATGGTTATGTTGCCAAAGTTTAACCCGGGCCATTTTACGTGCCCGAGATTGTCTTTGGTTCATTTTTAAAGTTTTGTGAAATCGTTAAATACTATTAGAGATACGTTACGACGTATCCTTTCTTTTTTGTATCTGGAAATCGTTAAAATTTTTGGAAAATCTCGAAATGACGATCATGATCCAATCTGGAGATTGTGATTTTTTGTAATGTACCACAAGCGATTAAGCGATTTACTGGAGTGAAAAATCTACGAGACTCGTGACTAAAATGACGAATTTTGTAAGCCGAGCAATTCTCTATTATTTTTTGGTTGTTTCTTTAAAGGGCGTCATTCAGTCGCTGAAACTTTATTCCGGCCACCCTCAGGATCTCGTCAAGTGCAGTCGTGATTTTGACGTAAGTATTGTCATTGAGGATGATTAGCCAGCTGATATAGATAAGTAAGTAGAACCTAAACCCAAATGGTAAGTCTAATACAATATAAGCCAATGAAAATATGATAATAGTGGGAAACTTCGTCATCGGTAAAAAAATAAAAATTGGTATCGAAACTATTCGCAGAATGATGACTGGGAAGGATAATTAATTTGCGACAAGCAGCAAAGGTCAAGGTTCGCCATCCCAATGTCCTCAAGTACTGGTTAGGTTGCTTAATTTCATATTCCCAGGAGTCATTTTCACTTAAGGGTATATATTTCGTTCGCAATTAACGACATCTGACTCACGTGACTTTCAGATGCCAATAATACAATTTTACGTGTGAACAACCATATAATATATTCTGCAAGGAGTCCATGACGCTTGAAGTTGCACAAATTTATCTTATAATTATTTTCACACTTACCGGCCGAACTAACAATTTTGGCAATTCCTACAGTATTTCACAAATCATCCAATATATCTGACAATTGATCCACGCGAATTAAAAAATAATCATTATTATCAATATCGAAATGCAAATCATTATAAAATATCAGAGCGAAGCGTTATGGATGTCGCTATCGAGAAAAAAATTTACCTGAATCGTATTTTCTTTCCCCTTTTCGACAAATAAAGCAATAAAACCAGGACCAGTACCATTTACGAGAGTTAATTGACGTGCTTCCTGCTCAGCGTGAATTATTTGTCACGTATCCGTAGCACGAAAAAAAAAATTAAAAAAAAATAAAAAATAGAAAGCACCGATGCATCTGTCCGATCAATAAACAATGCAGCTGTATTTTCATTCGTTAAAAAATAAAACAGCATCCAACCGTACGATTCCTCCCCTCACAAAACGAAAGAAGCAAAGACACCGATTGCACGTGCCTCTGCACGAATAGGTAGATCGACCAATGCCACATGTGTCTCTCCCTCTGTATAACGGTACCGCACCGACATTCCACTTTGACCAGAAAACAAGTAGCACTCGCATAGAAGACACCATGGGAATTTTTCAAGGTGGAGCCATCGACGAGTTATAAATTTCTCTTGAATAATTCAAAGAGCCAAATTGAACGAGGAAGAACGAAGCCAGTCCGAAGCAAAAAAAAAAAAGAAAAGAAAAAAGGTCAAAACGATACTCGTATTCGTCTAGTTATTATGTAATAATAGTGCGTGCACGTATGGGAGTAGCATGTAAGACGACCATGACGTAGTCCACGTGTACTCGAGGGTCTCCATTTATGCCCTTTAATCTGTCTGTTCAAGACACCGTCTTTGGTCTCCACGTATAGATTTCGTAACTGCAGCGAAGCTTTGATGTGGCTGATTGGCATTCTGAAGGTTGGGATACTGCGACCTGACCGTACGTAGAATACTAGCCAAGTATCAGCTAGTAGCTACGTAAATAGACCTGCTAGTACCTACATGGTTCAAAGTCTACGCAAACGTAATACTAATCCTAAGTGGAGCGTGAGGATATGATGAAGACGAGCAAGAGCGACGCGATCAATCGGTATCGTGAATACCGATCATGAATTGAAAAAAGAAGAATCGAAAAGGAGGGGAGAGGGGGGGGCGGGGATGCTCGAACAAAATGCTATTCGCCATCTGCACAAGCGATCCGATCCTCTTTCATCCGCAGGACCATCTGGACCGATGGCAATAATAAATACCGATTCAGTCAATGTTCTAGAACATTGACGATCCGTATACGTAATTAGACCTAGAGTTCAAAGAAGAGAAGCTAAGGAATCTGGAGATATTGAATGGCCGCGAAAGGATCTTTTCGAGGGACCTTGTTAATCATGCGAACCGCCCTCGAGTTTGCTTAGTCTGGCTCCCGATTGCCGGAGCTGGGGTCCACTAAATATATTGAGGGCCCCTATCCTGACACGTGATCGTTATGCGTCTCGGTCCGCCTTCTACTGGGTGGTACAAATATATGGGACGACTCTTTCAACGGTTTTAAATTACAAGAGTGACTTTACTTGGCGTCTTTCATTTTTTTCGGAGCACTGCCTATAGCTAGTCAAGTAAATCATGTCTGATCGGTGTCCTCGTCTTTTTTTTTGAGATTCGGTATAGTTTTCACGTCTGGAGGATTATTTTAGACGGACGATCTGGCCTGCGGAGACGGTCGATGACTTTATTTATAAATCCATATAACATCTTTACGAAATCGCTGGAAGTTTTTCTATTTTTGTATACGAACGTGTATTTTTTTATCTCTGCTTAAATAATTTTAAGAAATTCGCAGATCCTCCGCCTGAACTTCCCGCTGGTATACGTATACAGATATACTACTGTTTATTTGAGCTCAATGGAATAACGGATATCGTAAGGAATTATTGGAATATCGACATCATTAGTTACGGCAATTTCCTGTCCGGGTACGACCGTAGATACCAATTTATTTATGGCGTCTCGTACGCGGTTCCACTTTGATAGTCCTCGCTCTATTGGACGAGAGAATTTCATTAAAGAATACCAGCTAAGTTAACCACGTAGACACTTTGCTCTGTCATAGAATTAGTCGGCCAATTAGCCACGGAATACTTAATCAGTCGTAGCCCGAGCAGTAAAAGTAGCAAGATAAAGCAGAGCTGAGGAATAAGAGGTAAAAGATAAATATCCGATTACAGATTATCCCATTAAATCTGAGGAGCGTTTACGCGATCGCTTTATCCCATTACACTTTTTCAATTTTTTGTTTGAAATTTTTTTAGCCCAGAGCCAGAGGCTTCAAAAATCCAGAAACTCTAGTTAATAACGATAATCAAATGTCCAAAGATTCTGCAGGCGAGACCGTGTAGGAATGCATACGAAAATGAATGGGTCTCGGTGGGCCTCAAAGGGCCCGTTTATAAGGATCGGCCTTCTCGATTGTTATCGCGTCGCGACGCCCTGCGAGGGCGTGAAAATTGAACGGTTCGAAATACGAGCGCTATGTGGATACTCTGCCGGGTATTTTTGGTTGAGGAATAAAACGAATGAAAACTAAAAGTAACTAAATAAAAAGTGAACATAAATGATCAGCGCCTCCAAGTCCCCGGGAAGGATGGGCCTTAAGCAATTTAAATATCCCAAGGCGGGACTCGAGTCCTCTCCAATGACTCGGTATAATCATCGCACGTGAGTGAGCTCCGTGTGGCAACCGAAAAATCAAGGAACCGTCAAGTCGAGAACAAACGGAACGAATTAACAACGTAAAAGTCCTATCTTTCATTTTCGATTTTGATTCTAGTTTTCAAATCGTTCGAGCCTCTCTACGCTCTTTGCTCTTTACTCGAACGGCCAAATGCTAGTTCGAAGCCCAGGGCGAGGGGGAGAGGAGAGGAGAGAAATTTAATTTCATGGAACGTTAAGTACGCCTCTGGCTTCCAACTAAAAAGGGGGATGCAAAGTGGCACTGGAAGATTCTCATCTTACCATCGAGTATTGAGATAATAAATATAAGGAAAAAAAGACATTTCGACAAAACGTCAGATATCAAACTGATTTTTGTTAATTATTTTATTTTGACAGGTATAATCGAGGGCTTTTGTAATTACAATTCGACAATTTTGCTGGAAATTTGCTAAGTATATACGTGTGCTCTTATGGCAATAACTTGCTGTTCGAATTCCTCGCAAAATTGAAACGCACTGGAATTTTTAGCATGAACGAGGAAACTATTGAGTGAGTTCATTAGTAATGGGAAGTAGTTTAAATGCCTTGGAAAATCGTTTACTCGCTATCGAATCGTTTATTATTTTTTTATAAACTGGCGAATCTGTACCACTATATCTTTTACAAGTCGTATACCCCTCGTTCTCCACGTGGAAAAAAATTAAAAAATTTCCGAAGAGAATCAATGATTCCCGAATTACGAAAATTCGCATATACCATTGAATCTGAAATGTCATCTTTAATCAATGCCTTATCAATATCGGATAACATGAAAATTAATATTACCTAATCGATACGAATAATTATTAATGCCAACCCCCCCTCCCAAATATCCATAAACCTTAATTTATTTCCACCTATAATTTACACGTTAATTTTATACTTTTCTTTTGTCCTTATAGTTCTTTCCAGGATCCGGCTCGGGTGATTATAACTCGAGCGAGGGCTCGGGTGATCTTTCCGATGACGATCAGGTAGCAATAAAATTCGCAGCAATTAATAAAAGCATCGTTCACACGAGCAGTGTGAATTTTTCTAAAAAAATTTAATTCGCAAAAAATAAAAAATTCTATACTATTTCTAACCGCCTGTTAAATCAGTAGTAATTGTGCTGTTATTTAATTTTGCTTGAGACTTACTATGACGTCCGTATACACGCTATAGGCTGTTGCTGTGATTGCGTATACATGTGCGTGTGCCTGTGCGCGTGCGTATTTTGAGATTATAAGAAAAATTAACTAAACAGTTCTCCGCCTGTAATCCGATCCCTTTTACGTAACGTTGTAGAACGCCACACGTACCTATGTTCTCCACGGATGAATTCCCTCGCGAGTAATATTGGAATATCAGCTAATCGATTCCGAGGGAACGTTCTGTGGTCGCCCGGTTACAGCTTGCGGGAAATCTGAATCCGTACGAACGGATTCCGCCGCCTGTACCGGCGCGTGCGATACACGCGTAATACCCGAATCGTTGCATTGTCCCGATACGGACTATACTCACCGTATGTAAAATTTTCGCGAACAAGAATGCGAAATGTTTATTGCCGTAATTACGATTCTTCAGTGCTTAAACGTATATTTTTTGAAAAACCTGTCGCACAAGATGGCGCTGCACATGGATCGTTTCGACCTTGAATTATTGGCGTTTGTCGACTTAACGCAGATTGCAAGTGAAACCGGATGTACGGAAGGATATACTTCCGTTTGGAGAAAATATTGTCAAAAATTAATTATATACGCAAAGAACGTGCGTTTCCCCTATACATGTATTATATAGATAGATATTATACGAAATTACGCAAAAGAATCGGAATCGATTCGCGCGTTCAATCGTATTAAACTGACACGCGTGTGTGGCTGAGGCGTGAATTGCATTGTGAATATGTAATCGTATGGCAAAAGCATTACGCGTTTCGAACTTAATGCGGTTTCGTTATTCAAACGAATTTCTCGATACCAACAAACAGAATCAGAGAAATTGCGGGATGAAGATATTATTATTATTGAGCAATTTAGAACGGAGCCGTTATTCTACAGCGGCATATATTGTACATACGATTATTATATTCGTACGATAAGATTATCGGATACCATGAAATTAGGAGATATTTCAAGAACCAGCTCGTAAAGGGGGAACCTCAAATTATTTTGGAGTACCGTCGTTCACGGGTTACGTAGGTGCAACAGTTTTGGTACAAGGAAAAAAAAAGGAAACGTAGATGCGATCCGAGGGTTCTTGGGGAATGCAGGAACATATGTGGAGCATGGTTTTTGTTATCGGGCAACAACACTCGACGAATGTTCGAGGGGACACTTTTGTCCCAGACTATCCAGAGCACAGTGATCTAGGTGGATGCTGGATGCGAGAGAGCGAGAGAGAGAGAATGAGTTTCTGGCTGTACAGAGCGTGTCTAACAGGAGGTTTTCTTACGTCTTGTGTCTTACGTGTCTCTCTAGTACTAACGGCTCGTACTCGTGAAGATGAGTGCTTTTAACGTCTTAACCCAGCGCTGCTGCCACGGCTTCAAACTGTCTCTACGTGTCGTCCGTGGATGTGTATCGTTTTTCTGTTCTCTCTACTATGTTCTTTGCCCAAGCGAAAGAAAGCGGGACTTATGAAAGACCGAATGGGAAGCATTAATATGGTACGTGTAACTTTTTTCAGTTTGGTAGAGACAATTACGAGGATGAAGAGGGTAACAAGCCTCCGCCATTTATTACCCCACCACCACCTAATCCAGAATGTAAGTTCAAGTGGACAATGTTTGGGACGATAGGGGTAGTCACGTGATTGACTTCTTATTTTACATCGACAGCCAAGGGACCAAAGGGTGATAAGGGAGACAAGGGTGATAAGGGGGAGAGCGTCAGAGGTCCACCTGGACCTCCGGGTCCTCCCGGGACAGGATATGATCCCAACGACGAAGTAAGGGTCAATGATTATCCGAAACATTTGAAATAGAGAGGAAAACGATGTGCTGATCTTTATTATAGGATTTCCCGATGAAACTACCGATGGGTCCAGCAGGACCCAAGGGTGAGCCTGGAAGCTGCACCTGTAACGCGACAGAAATAATGGCCTCCTTCACACTACCAAAAATGCTACAAGGTCCGAAGGGTGAGCCGGGATTACCTGGAAAGGAAGGCAAACAAGGGCAAATGGGTTTGACGGTACGTGAAGTTAAGTAATTCCGTTTAGTCTCCGAATGAACTTTTTAAAAATCAATGCTTAAAGAATTCTGCCTCTAGCTGAGCTTGTCGAAGGTCAGACCCCTTAAAAGAGACTTTATGCCATGACTCATTGAATTGCATGAAATTAGGGAGCCGCGGGGCCACCGGGCGAACGAGGACAGCAAGGTCCTCCGGGTGCAAGAGGCGACAAAGGTGACCTAGGAACAACGGGACCAGAAGGTCCGCAAGGTCAAAAAGGTGAACCAGGAAGAGATGGGGTACCAGGGGAAAAGGGGGCGCAGGGTCCACCTGGCCCACCAGGGAAAGGAGAATTTTCCGGTCATGACGTAAGTATAATTGTAACCATGACAAAGACGTGAAACCGGATTAAAACAGAACTCAGACGCACTGCTGCACCTGATTTCAACCTACAGCCCTTCATTCGCGAAATGCAAAAACCCGCCATTCCGGAAGGATATGCTGGAAATAAAAAATAGCACACTGAGAATCACTTATCATGATCCTCGTCGTCTACTCTTCTTCCGTGCATCTCCTCTCTTTATCTATCTTGTCTTGATGCAAACAGTCATTATAACGTTACGGACCGATGCACGTGGCAGGGGATTAGTTTCCTTGGTGATCCAGATTCCTTCGAGATATTGCTGGCTAAGGAATTCCTCTAGAAGAAATCTCCACGAATAAGGAACATTGTCAATTTCCCAGCGGGATTATGGAAAGCAATTTCGCAACATCTACGTAGGCCAATTGAACCGACGGGTGTCGCGATGTTACGTCCCCAGAACGTAACAGAAAAGTCTTCTTTTCAAATGAAAACTTTCGGAAAACTTTTATCGAGATGGAAAATTTTACAAGACCTAAAACTTCACGTGGATCTCTGATTTTCGTTGCGACTTGGGAAATAATCGTCCGTCAATTCGTTAACGTAATTCATCATCGCGAGAGAGAGTTCTACCGAGATTTTCATTTTAAATCCTTTGAGAGCGAGTAACGAAGAATTGCTTCAGCGATTCCTGTAAATCTTCCACCAGAATTCGGATCTCGTCTCGTTAGCGCTATTATATTTCAAGTTTCACGATGAACCAGGATAGTCGAATCATCTGTAACTTGTATAGATTCCGAGGGAATGTTCAACTTTGACAATTACTTAATGGATCTTCGTTCGATGACTTTGTTTGAACTTCTCGTTTGAGCGTGCACACTAATGTTGAGCTTCGTGCGACCGTAGTTGATGCTGAACCTGTATGGACGGCATTCCATTACATCTTAGGTTTACAAACAACCGACTGACAATGTATCTCTCTGATCTAATCAATCAGACAATACCATTCATTTATCCTATCTAACACATGCAGCCTAGCTGGAAACCACGAAGCATCTATAGAGTAAGTAAAAGGGGAGGGAAGACAGGAAGTAATTCCATTGTACATCAAAATTTAGGGTATTAATTTATAAATGGATATTTCGAAAGAGCTATTGTTACATTGTTAGGCGGAAGGAATCACGATGAGGCCTGGGCTACCGGGTCAGAAAGGGGATGCAGGTACCCCAGGAAGCACAGGACCCAAGGGCGAGCCAGGAATATCAGGTTCGAAGGGCGTGAAAGGCGAACCAGGACTGAAAGGATCCAAAGGAGATCATGGACAGAATGGTCCCGTGGGTTTACAAGGATTCAAGGGAGAGCCTGGTGCTCCGGGTGCGCCAGGGGTACCTGGTGCACCAGGAGAGAACGGTAAACCAGCGGAAAAGGGTGCGAAGGGCGACTCTGGCCCCGAAGGAAAGCCAGGCCCCCCGGGACCTGCTGGGCCTCCTGGAACGGGTGGACTGAATGTAGGAGACATAGGTAAAATCAGAGCACCTGTAATCAAATGTGTCAACCCCTCATGATTTAAGCACTTGGAACAGTTACCACCACTTTTCCCTTTTACACTGGCTGAAAACATTCAAGAGAGTTCGTTTAATTCTCTTTTCAGGTGGTGGTGAAAAAGGCGATAAGGGCGAGACAGGTCCTCGCGGTTACAAGGGCGATTTAGGGACTAAGGGTGAAAAGGGTGATAGGGGAGACTTGGGAGCTGCTGGGATTCCGGGAATGAACGGAATTCAAGGTCCTCAAGGTGACAAGGGTGAGCCCGGTCGGGATGGAGTACCAGGAGTAGCTGGAAGTGCCGGCAGTAAGGGTGAAAGAGGTGAAAGAGGTCCTCCAGGGGTGGCAACCGTAGCTGGTTCCGGCGATTACGTAACGATAAAAGGCGAAAAGGGTGCTGAGGGGAAGCGCGGCAGAAGAGGACGTCCAGGACCACCGGGTCCCGTAGGACCACCTGGGAAACCTGGTACTAATGGAGAAATAGGTCTTCCAGGGTGGATGGTAAGTTTGTCATTCCATTTTAATACTATTAACGTAAAGTAATGGACACACTACATATTCCATATTATAATTACAATACGTATCACCCGCCACTCCGTACCGGAGTCTGTCTATTATTATTGCGATCATCAGCGATAAAATTATCGATCCCTCACTTACCGTGTTCTCTTCCTTCTTAAATGCTAACTCAAGAACACCATAAAGGTAAGTGAAGTAAAGCTGCTTATGAGGCGCTCGAAATTCAATCTCTAATTCGCTTTACAGGGTCGCCCTGGTACGCCTGGAATTCCGGGGAGTCAAGGTCCTCACGGTCCCAAAGGAGAAAAGGGTGAGGCTGGAGCACCGAGTCCTTATGGAGTCTCGGTTGGGGTGCGTACACGAGTATACCAACTTGAAACATTTCATAATTGGTCCATAAGTAGAGAAATCTCATAATAGAAATTTCATTGGAACAGATCAAGGGAGACAAAGGAGACAAAGGAGACAAAGGGGATGATGGATTCCCCGGGAGTCCAGGACAGCCTGGACGTGACGGCCAGAGAGGACCAGCAGGACCCCCTGGTACACCATCGCAGGGAAATTACGTACCCGTACCAGGACCCCCAGGTCCACCGGGACCTCCTGGTCCGCCAGGATTGTCACTCACGGGACAAAAGAGCGACTCAGGTCGAAATCACATGTTTGGCGAGAGGGATTACTATGGCGTCCGGCCAGGTAAGATATCACTCTTTACTTCGTCTCATTATATGAATGAGATATTCATACAAATATATTACTCACATGCTGCAAGGACCCAGAAGTAGCCTTGACGAGCTGAAAGCTCTCCGGGAACTCAAACAACTGAAAGAGTTGAAAGAGCATTTGGGTAAATCATTTGACATCACGTGTAACGACTATGTGATAGAAGACGATATACATTTATCATATAAAAATCATACCTATTTTTCAAAACTTATGTAATCTAACTTTTAACGAATGTACAAGTCTGTTGAACTTGTGTACAGGAGCTAAAGTAGTTTAAAAGAAAATAATGAGAACAAAACGATAATTCCAGGTGGCTCCGCAACCTCGACAAAAGTTCACCATGAGACCACGACGAAAATAGTTCCAGGAGCGGTGACATTCCAGAACACGGCAGCCATGACTAAGGTATTAGTTAATGAATTGCATCAATTAAATTTTCATATAATTTATTAAATCTAATTCAGATGTCGAGCGTCAGTCCCGTGGGTACTTTGGCTTATATCATAGACGAGGAAGCATTGTTGGTCAGAGTGAACAACGGCTGGCAATATATAGCGGTAAGAAATTTGAAGTTGTCGAAAGAAAAATTTCTATCAGAGATATTAATCTTAAAGTAATCCACTGTTTATGTACCAGCTGGGCTCTCTGTTACCAATAACGACGCCCGCGCCGTCGACAACAGCGTCGCCTCCCGTGAAACCACCTTTTGAAGCATCTAATTTGATTAATCAAATTCCGATCAAGGCCGACGGCACTGGGGTAACTTTCCATGCGTAACTTGTTATCGCTAACATTAAATTACCAGGAGCGAAAACATTAATCTAATGCGAACTAACATATTTTTATTTATCCGCCCTCAAAGTGGTATCCAAGAATGGTAAGCTGCCCGGTCTGGTGTACTGGAGAAAAATTAATTAAAAGATGTTAAAAATACAAATTTTCTTATCGATTGATTTAATTCCAGTTACGCATGGCAGCCCTTAACGAGCCCTTCACGGGCGACATGCACGGTGTCAGGGGTGCCGATTACGCTTGTTATCGACAATCCAAGCGAGCCGGATTTCGAGGGACATTTAGAGCCTTTTTGAGTTCGAGGGTGCAAAACGTCGACAGTATCGTGAGACTGGGGGATCGAGATCTGCCGATCGTAAATATAAAGGTATCTTAATTGAAAAAAAAACAAACTGAAAATCTACACTGATTAAATGCAGTATATACCATAAAACGAGATTATTAAAACCTCTAGGGTGACGTTCTCTTCAATTCCTGGAAAGAGATGTTCAATGGCAACGGGGCGTACTTCTCCCAGAGTCCAAGAATCTATTCGTTCAATGGCAAGAATATACTAACGGACTTTTCATGGTAACGCAACCTCAATATTTCTTACGTTACGCACTACTGTATTCTATTATCTATATATAAATGAAAGATACGCGAGAAGAAATCGCCATAAACTGATATTCACAAATAATAATTGCAGGCCTGAAAAAGTAGCCTGGCACGGATCCCACAAGCTTGGCGATCGGGCGATGGACACCTACTGCGACGCCTGGCATTCCAGCAGTTCCGATCGTTACGGTTTGGCGTCCCCGTTGACAGGTGGTCGTCTTCTCGAGCAGGTACGTTACTCCTGCAACAACAAATTCGCCCTACTCTGCATCGAGATCAGCAGCGAGCACGACAAGAGGAAACGTCGTAACGTCGACGACGACGTGGATGAGGTCGAGTTGACGGAAGAGGACTACAAGGAACACCTGGAGGAGATTATGAAGAACTGAGTAGACGTATCATGAGAAGAAAAAATAATATAAAAGGATCACGAACGACGTACAATATACAGAAAAATGATCATCGCTCGAAGATGAATCCTCGTTGGATTCTTCGTCTCTGTAAATTTTGAAACGTCGCTACAATTTTTCTCTATATCCATAAAGCGCATATCATCAACGAGATTTATAAGCCTTCGCTCAAAAGATACATTTCAGTTTTATCGAAAAAGACTGATCGTCTCGAAGTTCGTCGTAAACGTTTCATATCAGCCATTGTGTATCCTTAATATGCTCTTAGAGAGGAACAATTCACGAGATTCGTTATTGCGTGAAATTTCATATAAAAGCTAGAAAAGGTTAACACGATTCAGGGAGTCTGATCTTTCTCTTGCGCGTCCTTAAGTGTACCCTGAATCACGGTAAACGTCCAAGTACTTAGCACATACATTATATACACGCATCTATGCAATTGTCCGGGATAAATGCATCATTCAAATTGGATAATTATACTTGCATATCGCACCCAACTGCATGCACATGACAATTGTCAAATCTGACTGATACGTTTACATAGTGAATATACAGCCCTGTATACACGAAAAAAAAGGAGAAAAAAGTCTCGCCAAGAGAAGCTACTCTTGTAATAGTGTAATTTACTGTTTAAATCGTAGATGTTGATTGAAGGAAACAGAACGAAAAACAAAAGAAACGAAATAACCCGAATGGAGGTCCTATTCGATGCATTTACTATTATAGCAGGTACGTGAGTGTCTATGTTAGGTAATAAGCGAAGGTGATTATTGTAGAATTGTGTAATTCTATAACTGCGTCTTGCCACGTGGAGCTACGGATTTATGCTCCCCGAACAGTCCTCGTGACTATTATTTAGCAATTCCATTACTTACGGAACGATTGAAATAAATCGATTAATATTATCGTAGGAGAACATATCGCAAAATAACGAATACTGCCGGCAATGGTGTTAGAATAAATGTTACTTACGGGCAAGTGTCAAGTATATCTGAAAGCAAATTGATCTATGTAATAGATTGATTCACTGATACAGTAGAACGTGTCGTAGGCGTAGAAATTGGAGCTACAGTTTATACGAGTGTCTATGGATATGGCTGATACGAAATGATATGTTCTACTGTATGTTTGATTTTAACAACATATTGTTGTCTTCTCAACATGATAGCGCTTGAGTTCGGCTTAAATCGAGCATAAATCGAATCTAAGTCAGTGTCTGTAATGTGAAAGTGTTAAACAAAAGGAAAAAGAAGCTGTAACTTAACTTATTTATTGAATTTATGCCTAGCAAACTATATAGATTTACATACTCTGTCCAAACGCTTGTTGGCATGTCCCTTTCGTTGAAAAAAAAGAATTTTATTTTCATAATATTGTGAGAACTGCGCGTAATCCTAGTAACTATATTGATAATTATCTTTTTATCTAATTTGCATCGAGGATGCTTCGTTTCGAAAACTTTTCATTGTTTGTAAGTTTTATTATTGTCTTTCTAAATAAATGAAATGATCGAGCAATCATTGGTATACTTTTTACTCGTGTTATAAGACAGTGCAAGGATGTGGTTGGGTTAACTCATGTTATGAAATTACGCACCTTTCTTGTGAATCGTATAGAACAGTACAGATTACGTTTATTATGGTTTGATGTTCCGTCACATAATTCATTCTTCCCATTAGAGCAAATGAAATGTAAGGTGCAGAGTGACGTACCTTAGGATTTTAGTATTGCCAGTGCTTCGGTGCAGTTTAAACCCTCAAGGATATACGCCAAATTCTCCATGGATGCATCCTCGTCCTCCTCTGCCCAGATTTCTAACATACTTTTACACTGTTCGTATTGCGTTGGTTTACTTTGGAAGAACTCGATCTGAAATTTAAAAAAGTCCACATCGTAACTATTTTTACGTTAAGAATTAAAAAAAATTTGTAATCGCTAAAACTCACTTCGTCGTTCGTGTAGCCAAGTTTACTAGCCAATTTCTTCCAGTCACTCTTCAAAGCTTCCGAAAGCTTCGCCACCATTTCCGGTGTGACTTTATTTAATTTTCGAATTTTTACCTCCGCATTTTCTGCGTCGACTTGCTCGGATTCTTGTTTTAACACATCTTCATTGTACTCTTGATCGTTTGACTCTGGAGGAGGAGTCTCCTCTGTTTCATTCTTTGAGTCTGACTGTGTCTGCTATATTAAAAATATTCAAGAATGGCTTTGGTCAACTTAGACTGATTTATGCTTAAACATAAAAATAAATACTAACCGGTCGGTCTTTGGCAATTTTTTTTATCATTGTTTCTAAATATTCTGGTAATTTGTTGATAGGATAGTTTCCGTGGACGAAAAAGTGGGGACTGCGTCTTGCTAGTAAACGCAATGCTCGCCAGCCAAAATTACCGTCGTTCACTTTTCTACGAGGTATAAGATATACAGTTACATCAAATTTATTTGGAAATTCAATTATGTAGTTTGAAGTATGAGATCAAACGAAAACTTACTTGTATTCATCTTCTACCATGGCAGCTGGATCTAACTGTTCTATAGCTTCCTCGAAGTATGTTTCCAAGGATGGAAGGAAATCTCTATCCTTTGACTTGCAAGCTTCTAAGTTATTAGGACAGAGATTCCAAAGTTTGGTCAATTCCGGACTACAAAAAAAAAGCATATTTATTAATTCTGTGTGCACACAAAAATTAAAGATAAGTGAAAACCTACATACTTTCCCATGTGATATTTTCCTACTGCCTGCGCATCTCTGATAACATCTCCAATTCTTCTTCTTGGTCTCTTTGGCTTCTTCGGCTCATCCCCGTCATTCGTGGAATCTGGTGCAGGTTTTTTGAAGGGTGGACAACCCTCATTCTTCCAAGCGTTCCAGTGTTCTTCTCGTTTTAAAATATTCTTTACAGTTTCTGCAAAAGTTGGACCATCCGGCGGAGTTTCTGATAGCAGCGAGTAGACTTGATCAGTCGTTGCCTTTACCCAATCAACCTGATCGGGCTTTAGTTCATGTGTCTCGCTAAAAATCATGAGCTAAATCGTATGTGAACCCTGATGGCTCTTTTTGGGATTTTGGATTTAAGAAAAGCATACTAGCAGACCTTGTCTCATAGCCACTGGCAAGGAAGCTTTGGAACACAAACATCGATTTATGATGTAAAGGGTCAATTATCTTTTCTTTTTTTCGTCTAATAATATCCTTGCCCGCTATGTATTAGGAGTCTCGAAGGGAGAGGTTTTTTTTTTTATACGGATTTTGACATATAAACTTATGTATGGCATTTTACACAATAAATTTTATGTGTAAATAGCTCTCTAGTGGTTATTATGCACTTACGACTTAAATTTCACGGTGCTATTGAGGTATTGAAACAGGATCAAGAATTGTAGTAGAACGTATCTTCGAAAATTTGAATCCGATAATTGCAGTTCAAGTAACTTCTGGTTGGTCAGATATTTTGCAAAATAGTGAGTTTCCTTTGGAGGTCCCTCGGAGGATGTATCCATTTTTATAGAAGCGGTAGGACAGCTGCGTTGATCCTCCAATTTGAATGATGAGAATGCCGAGAGTACATTTGAAGCGTGCTGTGGGACGCAAGAGGTTTGTATCACCAATTCATTGTGCGAATCCCATCATTGAGTAACAAAATCCTCACCGCTGAGAAAACTTTCCAATGCATTTTGTTATAACACTGATTTGGATTTCTGAAGAAATCTTGCAATGCCCAAAACTTTCTGTATAGATTGTAATCAATGGGAATTTTTGCTTCTAATTTATCGTCATCTTCACTGATGTGATCCAAAACATCTTCCTCAGACTTCTCAGTACCAAATTCAGTGTGATTTTCCAAATTAAACTCGCTAACTATGTTAAGACCAGAACGTTCAGAAAATGGAAAAAATTTTGCTAGGAACAAGAGTATTCTGCCACAAAAGACAGTTTGTTGAGAGCGAGATAATCTTCGCAATAAATCATTGCACATTCTCAGCAGATTATTCTTGCAGGCACTAAAGAAAAGATCTTCTTTCCAAACCACTACATTATTTTCCACAAATGTGAAAAGCTGTTCGCAACGGTCCAATGTCATAGTATCAAAAATATCACCCAACAGCATAACAGGCATACTAGCAGTCGCTAAATCTTTTCTACATAACTCTATACAGAAACTGATATAAGATTCTAATTCTTGAACATTGCCCCATGCAATTTCTAATAGTGTATCACGAAGAGACTGATCGACAGCAGCCTTCCTGTCGTTCTCGTTTGCACTTATTTCTGTGCATTTTTTCTGGAAGGTGGAAATATCGGATTTCTTGAAACATTGGTACAAATGTAGCTGCAATAAAAAATACAGAGATTTGAATTACTGCTCCCGGATAACCTAAAACTTCAGCTGAAAGTAATTCAAGATTGAAAATAATTATTTTATAGCTTGTTAACGATACTCACACTGTACTCTTTCCTTAAGGTTTCAAACAGTGACATAGTAAAACAGTGAATTAATACTATTTAGTCAGAAAAAGCAGCATTCGCTTACAATAAACGATTAGCACAGTCGTACAAAGGACGCGGAACACACACAGTCGGTTCGAACTGTTGATAGTGCAGGTAGCAGTAGGTAGGAGCAAGTAGGAGTTGTGTTTAGTTTCGGAAATCAGTTGGACGAGCTTGGTAAGATGACGTTTTTATAACATATTATATCTCTCATATTCGTTTAATCAATATATGTTTTATATTGACATAATTCTTATATCAACCATTACGGGTTGTATGAATTCAAACAATTTTGTGAAGAATTGACGACAGGAAATGATGCTTAGACGTAGTTCTAACCTAGTGGCGATTCTCGTATTTTATTTAACTTAATGAAATCCAATATTTATACTTAGTACACCGCAATCTATCCTAATTCATAAGAAAAAATAAATAACTTTAATAGGTTATACTTTGAGACAAAACAGAGCAAATCTTAGATCCGAGATAAAATTGGTACTAATAGCCTTAACGATCGATTAATGGATAAACTCATAGATATTTGCGAGATTGCTAGAATTCGGCACATTCCACGAAAGCTAAATCCAGAAATCTCATTCCACAGTTATATTATAAAGAAGAACATGACGATCAATAATGTAGTAAAGACAACTGCAATAATCGTTACCGGTGCAGTAGTGTCGGAATTCGTCTGGCAGTTGTACAAAAGGCATCGCGACGCCGCGAAAAGTGAAACAGCAGTGCACGAGGTTCTTTTCTTTTCCGAAGAATCAGCCCTTTGTCGACCGCACGTAAATACTAGAATTCCTTGCAGAAAGCCAAACTGTGCTGTCGCTGCTTTGCAGTAAGATATATTGAAATGACAATATAAGATAGTCGGAATCTATGAGTAACTAGAATTTCTTTTATGAAGGCGGATAATTGCGCACCTCAATTCTTCGAAGAAGACGCTCGATATCTGTGTCTACCTGATGACATGTGAGGATCTTGCTAGAGCCGTGGTCAATGCGCATAAGAGAAACGTAACAATACGAATTATATTAGATGCAACAATGGCAGAAAACAATGGCGGTCGAAATCCTATTTTGATGTTTCATAAAGCAGGTAGTTTCGTTCGGTTAATAATACTTGGTCAAATATTTTTTAAATTACAAGCTATATTCTTACAACGTTAATATTACATCATGCTCTTAGGGATCAGTCTCAGATTAAAACGTTCGCCCTACATGATGCACCACAAATTCGCCATTGTGGACGGAAGCCTGTTATTAACCGGCAGTCTCAACTGGACTATGCAGGCTTTAAACGGAAATTTCGATAACATGATAGTTACCAACGAGAAGAAGATTGTCGAACCTTTTGTCCGGGAGTTCTCGAAAATCTGGTTGTCTTTAAACGCCAATAACGAGAAGAACTGATTATTGTTTTAAGGAACGATTGAGTGACTGAGTGCAGTAAATACTGTATACAAGATTTTAAGTTTTTGTTATACTTTGACGATGATAAATATAATTTTTCTATACTAATTTATTTGTTTTTTTTTTCTTTGATACTACATATACTGGGCCATGGTCTACGATAGGATTAGATTCGTCTGAGCAATTTACCGTAGATAACCAATGAAATTAGAGAGACTCAGCAGGGATTTGGGTTGGGTATGGGGTTGGTAGATTGGAAGAAGAAAGAAAACATGTCAATCAGCGAATACAAGGTCAAGTAATTCGGTTCATAAAAAGAGGAGATTGTTTTCTTTGATCTAGAGAAAATGCTAAAATAGATTGCAGAACTTTATATCAGGTAGAAAATGATTATTTGGTATTTCGGAAAAATGCTTGATGGCAATATGAATGTCAGGAGCGTTAAACAATTTATTGTTTCTTTTTCTATATCCGCCTACATATGGCAATATCAACGTCAATCGAACGATTACCAATATCCAAAGCTCGTTATTCGAAATGAAACACGTGAGGGGAAGATGTTCCTAAAATTGAGAGGTCCGTTATTAATAGTGAAGTGGCGAGTTTACGATTTTCTGATGGCTATAACTCGATCACGAGTAATTTTACCAATAATTAACGAGAACTCGTAATTTGAGCGCGGATATTTTAGGATCACGTCGAGGATCTTCAAACAGCCGAAACAAACAATCGAAAAATGAATCATACGTGTATAGATTGGGCAAATGTTTGCTTCCAGTCCCATCATCCTTGTTCTGCAGTTTTCCACGAACACATATTATGACTAGATAAAAATACACTGTAATTCTCAGCTTATCCCGTGTCTTTGATAAACAAAAAAATCCTTTTCCCCTTTTAATACAATTTCCAATCTTTTTAGAAAACGTTTTCTCCCTTCGATTTGTCGTTTATTCTACAAAAAAAGACTGTTCTTTAAAAAAGGCATTCAACCAACATCTCAAAGAAATCGTGAGAATTTTTAAATCCTGAAACGTATCATGATTTTCCAAAAATAGCCGAGCAAAATACGAGAGTATTTTTGTACAGAGAACGCAGTCGGCCTAGGCAAAGAATTTCCTCATCGAAAAACGTAATCACGAGCTTTGATCTAATCCAATATATATTCCAATATACCTATATCTATATCAAAATTTTTCAAAATCCATTCGGTCGACTTTCACTTTTATCTTCTTGTGCGACACTGTTTTTCCTGTCGCTTCGTCCTGCTTTGTTCTGCTGGGAATAAGCGAAACAATCAAAGCCTGAGAGGGAGAGAAGAATGGGAGTGGAAATAACCTGAGTAGGACGTAAGCCTACGGCGAGTTGCCATGACGATTCTGACGTCATCAACCCTCCTGGAAGCCCCCTTCTTACCTTGCATCCTTCCAACCTTCCATCCTTCCCTCCTTGCTCCCTACCTTCCTTTCGACCATTTTTATTCATCTCCATCTTACTTGTCTATCTGATGATGGATTTTTCGGAGTCTTGAATTTCATCACCTTCCACGTACTCTTTCGTTTCCTTCTGTTTACAAGGAATGAACGCAGACATGTCCCGCCTTGTAAACTAATGAAAACTTGAAAAATTTACCAAAGAGGTATGAAAATAAGCAAGATGTGAATTTCTCGAAATCCATAATACTTTTTCATTGTTTTTCAAAATATCATTTCGGTAGATCGTTCTTGGTTAAATATACCTATACACGGCCTAATAAAAATATGTAATTCCAGATTATTTTCGAAATTTTGAATACACTGGCTAAATTGTTCTTATCTATTACTTATTACGTATTCCTACTGCATAATTGTAATTCCCTGGATCCAGACGTTTCCACCCTCAATGCTACCCCTGCGTATTGTTTCCAAACGACTGTGCCACCCTCTCTGGAGACGAATGACGTCACGGCACTGACGTCAGAGTGGTAGACCTTTGCAGGTTGCATCACGCAAGGGGTTCGTGTTTGTCACGTGAGCCGTAACTAAATCGGAGCCACCCTTAAGATTTCATTCCAGCATCCGGATAATTAGATTCAAGATGAAAGAGTCTTTCTTCTCAGCTACGGTAGAATCTTTCTTTACGTTCGATCCATATATGAAATCAAACTAGGGTATATCGATAGTTAGAATCACATAGACTCTACGTAGGAAAATAACATGGTGTACCAAACAAACCAGGAAATATTCCACATATTCGCCGCTGGTGGCAGATTGCAAAATTTCCAGAGACTCATTAGCTAATATTAGACGGTTTCTGCGCAGTAGAAAATTTTTCAACGGTCACAGCCAGCATGCTACGAGGCATGTCGGATCTCGGGGCAAGGCGTTACCTACCAACAAGATTTATTTATCAGCCGCTAGCGCTTTTCGCTCTTACACTCTTAGCTATCAAAGGAAACCGCCTCGGCGATTTAGTCAAATACGCGAATCCTGCTTGAGTCAAGTGCAAAACAGCAATAAGTGGATTCATGAAATTTGGCATCGGAATAAAAGCAGGTATGAAAATATTGGTTGGTTCCTAACCTGCACAGTGAGGAACGAAAATTACCACAGGGGAAGTTTAAGTCTATTGCCGTTCGCCGTCACCTAATATAGTTAAAGCCACAAGACCCACTTCTAAGTTAGCAGCTACTAATCCAGTGTGATTGCTCAATTCACTACGTATGTAACGTGGAATGCTAGAGAGAATTGAGAGAGAGAAAGAGAGAGTCAGAGTTTGCCCACTTTATCAAGTGTCTCTCACGAATGATAAAGGTTGGGCAGTGTTAATACGTAATTTTCAAAAAATTCCACATTTTAATAATGATCGCGAAAAAGGCTTCGGATAAAAAATGACGTGGTGACTTAACGAACCGTTCGCTGAGAATCTATAAAGGCCACACGTGCGACATTACTTCAGCTCGTTCTCAAAATTTCGAGTAGCAATGTTGCATGGCCTGGAATAGACGCTCTTGACATTGCTTTCCGGAGCGCTTTGCTCTTGACTCCTCTCTCTCTCTCTCTCTCTCTCCCATTCTCTTTACGACAGGTTGGTGTATGGCCTGGAATAGACGCTCTTGACATTGCTTTCCGGAGCGCTTTGCTCTTGACTCCTCTCTCTCTCTCTCTCTCTCTCCCATTCTCTTTACGACAGGTTGGTGTATAGCTACAGCGCTCGGAACACCCGGCCTGAGTTCTTCAATTCCAATTGCAAAGCTGGGAATATCCTACGGGTATTTTCCTCAAGATTTTTATGCATGAATTCTTTTTATTTGCAAAATTGCTTTCGCACGAGATCAAAACTAGATGCGTAAAAGTATACAGTATGTATGACTAAATTATCATCCCTATTCGTTTCGGTGGATTAATTGGACTTTGTACGTCGCTTTACCTTCCGCGTACCTCAACCTCGCGCAGTATTGATTCTGTATTTTTAGATCCGTCGACAACCAACCTGCCAGCATCAAATATTAAGCTTCGCCCGAAATATCCCTCACCGCCCCTTCCTTCCTCCATCCCTTAGCCAGATTTTTCAGGGTGACTACATACCCGCCATCCAACTGGGGCCAGGGTGGTGGCGGCGGTGGCCAAGGGTAGCTATTCGCTTCAAGACCTTCATTTATTTCATCCGACTCCTTCGAGCCAACCAGTCAGTATCAAAGCGTTTCTTATTCTCCGAGGACCTTTTACGTCGCTATCCCGAAAAAGAGGCTGGACTAATAATAAAGGACTGATTTCGGTCCTAGCTGTGTTTCAAAGGTACCCTTACACCTTTACGCCGAGAATAAGACGGCTTTGAACTGGCTTCTTTATACTTATCACTCAAAAAATATTCTTCTTCTCTACTTTCTTCACTCCCTTTCTCCCTTTCACTCTGGCATCGTCATACAAATTTGTAGCACCAGTCGTTAGTTTCAATTCCGCGAGCTTGTGCTCTCAGAAAATGTCGCTCTAATGAGTACTCGTGCGAAAGTCTCACGCGACACCAGCCGATTCTCGGGACGCCTTTTTTTTTCCTGTCAAATGAAATTACTTTATTCACTTCTCGTTCCTCCCTTCTCTCCCTCTAATGAACTTTCCTTCGGAACATGCACTTAGATACGTTCCATTTTGCGGCTCTACCATCCACGTCAGGCTCGACCTATTTCATTATCATTTTTTGCCCTGGCCGATAAGCTCTTCGGATTTTAATGACGATTGAACTTTTTGAGGTAAGCACTTTTTTTTTTATTTGAAGTAAAATTTTGTTCAATATACCCAGCATCGGTATACTTAGAACACGCAGTGTGGATTTTCGAGAAAAACATTTTGGAAAGTACGTTTCCACATAAATTTTATAAAAGTGGCACTGCTTTCGGGGTAGCTGCATTTAACGTTGTCTCTAAAACAACGAGGGCGTGTACCGTGTCTTTTGTACGATTTCGTGGCTTTTTTAGTGGATATAAAAAATGTTAGATTTGAAAATCATAGAAAACATCGGTGGGAATAGTGTTCCTGGTTGTCAAGATGAATCAGAATCTATTGCTGCTGTTTTAAAAATAGGACGTTACTCTATTTTCTATATTCGATACTGACCGCGACGAATCGCAGACTGAGACGCGCTAATGTGGGTGTTTGAGTCGTAGATAAATATATCAGGAATCGACAGTTGTCGCGTGACACTGTAGATTTTGCTACAGTCAAAGCACGCATCGTCGATCCCTAGGACGTCCACCTTAAATATTTCATCTGCCCAGGTATCGTCAGTCGAATACCCTTACATCATTTTCCAATTGATACCTACTGGTTGTACCAGTAATAGTCGGATAATTTTGGCAAGCTGTCGCAGTGCACACTTACCTTCCATCCGGTCTTAAACGACGACAGGTGACATATTTTAGTACCCTGTGTCCCAGATTCACCGATACTAAACTAATATAATTTCACGGAATTAAACCTTTATGTAACGCGGGGAGTATTGGGATGGATGACGAAATCCCCGACTCGCCTCCTTTGAGGCATTAATAATTACGGGAGCACCTGCACATTTCGAGAATTGATGCACCGTGAGCACAGGGCGTAAGGGGCGATAGGGAAATTCGTTTAACGAACTTGAGTAGCTATTTCAAGCAGGACGTAAAACCTGCAAAACGCAATACGTCGCGATTAAGACGTTTGGTGGGAAATTACGATGCGTCTAATTGAACCTAGAAGATCGGAGACGCTTGGCTTCTTTTTTCTCTTTGATCTAAGAATAATAATAAATAAATATCATAGCTGAGAGAACTTTCGCTATATATCTTTCAATTTCGTGGATGCGTGTCTCGCAGCTCGTGATTGAGTCCTTCCTTTTTACATTTAACTTTTTTTGCTTCGGTCTCTTTCCTTTTTTTTTTTTTTTTCGTAGACAAGATGAATAATGATAATTCAACGACGACGTCATTCCCGTATAACAAAATTCCGAATCGGTCCGTTTAATATAGCACGTGACGACAAATCGTGTCAGGGTTGCGTCCATTTTCCACTTTTATTTTATTTTCCCTGTTAAACTGAAAAATTGCCTCGCGAGGTCGACTTTTGTCTCTTGGACGTTTTAAAGAAATTTTATGCGCAGTCGATCAGAGAAAGAGAGAGAGAGGGAGAGAACAAACCAGGTCTGTTAAAATCTTCCCAGGGAAGATTGTTATGTCAGTGGCCACCAATATCTCGTAAAGCCGCCTAAAAGTTATGCGAATCCAGCAGTACGAAGGCGATCAGAGACACGTTGTCTCGCGTGTTTTCTTGGAAGCACCGACAACCGAGTCCCACGCAACGCCGAGCGGCGCTGAAATAAATAGAAAAAGACAAACCCTTCGGTAAATTCGACGTCTTTACGTTTGACTCAGCCAGACGAAAAGGTGTACGGGCCAGAGGAAATACATTCGGACAGCCGTTTTGCCAAAGATACGTGGGAGACGTGCATTTAATTCAAGTAATTTTCCCGGGAGCATCGAAGTCTCTTGAACCCATCCAGACTGCGATGGTAAACGGTGTGAACGGCCTTTATGATCGAAAGCCGCGCTTCTCCTTCTTCGTCCTCTTGTTCGCATCGAACGCATCCTGCTGCGGCGTCTTGACGTCATACGAATAAAGCAACGTCGTAAAACGAAACCAGCCTCCACAGAAATACTCAACTGCATCACGCGCGGAGTGGTTAAATATTGGCGCAACCGACGACACGCGGGGAGCCGACTGATGGAAGTGGAACATTGTCCGTATGACGTATAAATAGTAAATAAGTAACGAAAATAACCAAGGGCCGTTGGACCGTCGATTCCTGTTGAATAGGACAGGCTCGATTTTGCAGGAGAAAAATGAGAAGAAAAAATTGTGACAGGTCGATTACGCAAAGTGGATCAAGGAATGAAATATCGAGGCATCTCGATTTGACATTTTGAACTTTGACAGCGATCGGGACGTCTCGCCGAGAATGGCTGCGACCAAGAAGTGTCAGTGTGGCTGATACGCATTTTGTCATTGTTTATCGTGCCGATCGATGAATTTTCGATCGGCGCGAGAATTCTTCGGAGAAGTGCTCGTTATCGAAGCACGAATGAGATGTATGTGAAAAAGCGAGATTGAGGTAAAAAAAGATGTGGGCGTCGGTATAGAGAAGAATAAATCTAAAATGAAAGAAGCAATAGGGACGTTGCCGTGAAATACTAAATATTCTCTCTCTCTCTCTCTCTCTCTCTCTCTCTCTCTGATATACAAGATAATATGTTCTGGCTGTATAGGCTGCCAGTTTAGTTTCGAATGCTTGTCAAAACATAAGCCAAGAATAAACCATCGCCGACCACGAATAGCACGGGTGGACCTCGAAATACACAGAAGATAACGGAACGCAACTGCAACTGACCATCGCGACGCGAACATGAGTTATCCGCTTCGGTGCGTTACGTCGACTGCGCGGGTAATTTCACAGTGGTGAAATAGCCCAGTCACGATTTGCGATCTTGTTAACCGAGCCAATATTATTCAGCTCCTAGTAAAGCTCGCTAAAAGTACCAGCAGGTAGCGTAACTTCGACTTCTTGATTAAGAAATGAACGAAAAAGCCACTACCGAATTACGTTGATTGAGGATTGGCCATTAAAAGTGCCAGCCGTAACGGAATCAATTGAAGCCAGAGTATCTACCCTCGATTTCAGTCAACGTAAAATATCAAAATTCGAAGAACGGGCCGCTTTCAAGCTCATTTCTATTAAATTGATGAGTTTTACGGGTAAAGTTTCTAATGACTAGTCGGGAGGGAAGTCGTAAAGAGACTGGAGTATCTAAAACAGTGTATACGACTTTTCCTACGGACTCGTAATGGATAACTATTTTTAAGTGACTCGTGTCTCGCGTAACTCTGTTACCTTATTACTTCCGTCTGACAGAGAGACATCTCCCATGAGAGTCAGCGCTCCGTGAACATACTTCTGGGAGATCTTGATCAATGCTTTACTTTTTTTTTTTTTTCCTAGTTCCCAACCCCACTGCCTGCACCCTCTCGGGTCGTCAAGTTAGCGAGTGCGTGGGCGTGGCTCGGAACGCTAACTTATTGCGAGGGCGAACGTGGTAGAAGCGAGGGGTGGGAATAGACGAAGAAAAGTTATAAAAAAAAGTTAAACATAAAGGGGAGAATCGTCTCGTTGAGAAGCGAAACAGCCCCAAGGGGCCGGGATGTGGTACCAGGAGTACAATCCCTATATTTAACCTTGTTCCGCGAACTCTCCTACTTCTCTCATTGTTTCATATTTCTGTAACGCGCGTACATTGCGCTTGCCTTAAAGCCGCACACGCGACGTGCAACTTCTTATAGAGCGGCAGGTTATTTCTGACGACTGTGACGTGCGGCGTGTGAACGGAGCCTTAACGTTACCTTCGCGAGGTCCCTTTCGGTTTACGGTAGACGTCACGAGAAAGCGACGACTTTGTGGCAAAGGGGTTGTAGACATTTTACGCTATACTGTCGATCCCTTGTTCATATTAAGGGTGACGCAATCGAGGGTTCCAAAATATGAGGACGCGATACTTTCCACGCGACGTTGTCCAATTTTTCCCCTCTTGTACCTGAAACCTAGTTTTATTTTTCCGTCGTCCCGCGACTTTTTCAACAACAATGTAATTAACATGTAATTGCATTGCTGAATATCGCTGAAGCGCTCGCTGCTAACTTCGTGCAATAACGATATTATCTCCCTACAAGATCCAGTTAGATGCAGCCTGGATTCATTGGCTGGTTATGAGTACAGGGTGGGGGAAAAAAAGGTCAGAGGTCGCTTTCAGCCAGGATATTAATCTTTTCGCTTCCAAGCTTGACTCAAACTTCCTCAAAGTTTAGTACAATTAGACGGGGCTTTACGGAGTCTGGATTGACGTAGTATATCTGTATCTGACAGCAGTTATATTAAGATTTACTGTACGTAGCTGCGCGCAGCTAGTTACTGGATAGTTGAAATGATTAGAGGAAGCGCCTCGCCTATGACAGTCCCTATGATATTACGTTGCGCCATTATGGGAATGTCCCGGAAACTGAGGGGGTCGATCAGGAGTAGTCAGGGGGTGGTTCAGTTAAAAAGGGGTTTCCTCGACGCCCGTCGGAGCTTCGAATCCCGGGTATCTAGGCTCCGTCGTCATGGCAACACCTCCAGCCACCCACTCAACAATTCCTTCGCGAGAGAAAAAGAGAGGAGAGAGAGTGAGACCGAGGCGATAAAGAAACGAAGGACAACCCTCGAAATCACTCCTTGGCGAAAATATATTCAATTATGCTAATTCATACTTTTCTCAACTGTTTTACCTTACTTTTACAATCCCCCGTACCGCCGCCAGCTCTTCTCTCCTTGATATACAGCGAACAGGACCTGCCACTAGAAAAACATCCACTCGTCTTCGTATACCTTTGTCTTTGAGAATGGTGAAGGAGGCACATTAAAATGTACGCATACCACCCTCCGGGGTAGTTCAGCGCGTTTTGCATCTTAAGGAATATCGATACGGAGAAATTCAGCATAAACCATTTCTTACAATGTTAACGTTTATTCTCAGTATATACAAAACAATGTTCTTTAACACAAATAGACGTCAGGGTCTGAAATGATTTGACTTACGCCAATGGGAAACCTGGCGCGTGAATTCTCGATCGAATTTTAAAGTAATACGTCGTATCTCTGAGATCGCATCTGTAAACGTACAAATGTATAAACGTATGTACGTAGATATCCAGTAAACTAATAAACGTTCGAAACGCGCAAGTCGGCTCCTAATCCAAATATCTCTTCTTCCGTAAACACCATGAACATGATCCACTAGGTTTCTTCATTTCTTTATGCCTCCCCCCCCGTTCCACAATTCTTCTGTATTTTTCCCAAAAGGTATCTAGCTACGTGTATATGCGGATAAACGTATACCTACGTGTATATAGATATTCTGTTGTATAATATGTACATATATAGGAGAGCATGGATACATGGGTATGTATCGGAGGACGGTCGACAAGGTGTTCATCACCTCGTGTCTCTAACATCCAATCTAAACTGTTATATGAAATAATAAATATATATATATATATATATGCTCTACTTATGTCTAATATTCCATGGAGCTCGCGGTTTACTTTGTTTACCTTGATTTTTGCTTTTCAACAAAAAAATCGATTCGATTTTTAAAAAGTATACGGTCTCAACGTTCATCCGTTGACTGATTGGTTTCAACGAACTGCGAGCTCCAGGAGACGCATTTTTTTTCATTAGGGTAAGAACTATTTACATCGTCCATGTAAAATTATATCGCTATCCTGTCTAAACACGTACTACATAAACTTCTACAAGAATATATGTATATATGGTATACGCGCCTTTCTACTACGTAACGACGATTAAGGTACAGCTCATCTAACGTGTCGACACTTCTTTGTTGCCAGGGGCAGTTATATTAAGATTTGGGATTTTCTTTTTTTTTTTCCTTTGCCCTAATAGACTTTGTTTACCTCAGCTTGATGCTGCTCTATCGGATTTCATAGAGAATAAATAATCGACGAGGAAGTGGAGCATGGATGCGATGAATAGTCTAGGTCCACACGTATTTCTGTACTCGTGTAAGACATGGTTAGACGTTATATAAGGCCAGTGCGCGATCAATGCGAATTCGAGTTATCGTTAAATTAAATTATCGTATTCTTAATTATGGAAATGTTATTGTCTCTATAGCCCGCAGTGGGTGTAACCGGAGCAGTCTATGGTCGTTGCCGTTTCTATATTTTGTAAAATTAATTTCTCTTATTTCCTTATTCTTCAAAATCATACTACTTGGTTCAACGCACACTTTCACTGTCTCCCCTGTCACACCTGGACTTTTATACTCTACAACTAGACATTCAGCAGCATTCGCACTCTAACGATTTACAATCTTATTGGGTTCTCAGGTAAACTACTACAGTCTAAGTATCACTTATTTAGAAAAGAAAAAAGAGAACTACTTCGTAATTCGAGTCTCTCTAAAATATCACGATTATTCCAGGGTAGACATAAATTTTAGAATGTTGCACGAGCCATCATCCAAATTTAAAAAAAATATTTTTGGATGAAAGACCGTAATGCAGAATGCGAGAATTTCAAAGTTCAAGGCGCCATCAACCTTCAGCCACGAAGCTTTCACTCTTGTGGTTTTACCGTGATGATGTCGCCGCAGTAGCTAAACTTTCGCTGATGACGATTAGCCCTTAGGATCGGTTCACTCGCGGACCTAGCCATCCCTCACATGGGTTCGTTATTCAATCCACCGATCAATCCTGGTTCACCCATGTTCGAATCACATTGCATCACCCACTCCCAGATCCTCTTGGTGACGACCTTCTGGTCCACGGTCGTTTCCAGACCGTAACTGTTAAGTAACTTACGGAGCTTGTTCTTGTTCTCATCGACGTTGCTCTTGTCGTCGACGAGGGTGTTGAGGTAGAGTAGAGAGTCACCCCGCTTGGCCAGACTCTCGCTGACGTCGACCGACGTCGAGGTGGCGCTATGGCTGAGCTTGCTCACGCACCAGGAGTCTTTCAGGTACTTGTTGACTTCCGTGACGCTCGCTCGTTTCTCAGGTTTGTGTTCAAAGATGCGCCGGAAGTAACGCAGAAGCCGCGGAGTGAACCGTCTGAACATCGGAGGTATCTTGGTGGTCCTCCTCTTGAGCCACCTCTGGAAGCCTGAGTAATCGGGATCCTGGATGAGGTCGGCACTCTGCCAGGGTGGATTTCCGGTCAGGCATACAAACAAAACAATACCGAATTGCCAACAATCAGCGCTCCTCTTACAGGTGTATCTCTCGTTTTTGATGACCTCATGAATTTCAGGTGGTAGGAATGGCACCCAGGTGCAGCGGATCTTGTTCACCAGGGTGCCTTCCTTCTTCGTGCAGCCAAAATCGCAGAGTTTGATTTTGGACATGTCCTGCGCGAACACCAGGATGTTCTCCAGCTTGACGTCCCTGTGGGCCAGTTGCTTAGAATGTAAAAAGTCCAACGCTGACGCCAACTGCTCTGCCATCTTCTTGCAGACGTCCTCACTGAGTCCTCCGGCTTTGACGTTACCAGCCAGGTCACCGAAGGGCGCGTATTCCTGGGCGAATATGTAGCACTTTTCGGCCTTGAACGCTACTGCATACGAGCTCAGAATATTCGGATGTGGACTCAGATGATAGGAGTAATGAAACTCCCTGAAGAAGTCCTTCTCCGTCGTGAGCTCCTGGTGCACAGCCTTGAGGACCACCCTGGTCTGCGTCCGCCTGTGCATTGCCAGAAGGACCTTTGCAAAACTACCCTCCCCCAGTGTCTTCTCAACATTGTACTCCTTGGTGAGGTCCAACTCCTCGAGCGGTACCTCCTGCACCCGATGGATACCGGATTCCTTTTTCTCGTGCAGCTTCATCTGTAATCAAATAAAGGGTAGGAACAAATTATTTTAATTAATGAATCATCCGACTAATTACTCAAAGTTTAACAGGGTTACAACGTAATCTGGTTGCCCTGACGATAACACCTGCTCTTGATTGTGTTGCCGGGCCGCCCCGGTAGGTAATTATTCCCAAGTAAATCAATATAGGAACGCGTCATCGTTGCGTCATACGCCAGCAGTTTACCGAAACAATCGATTCGCATAACAATGTTCGCTAACGGGGCAAATCATTTCCCGCAACAGGTTCCATCCTATCGCAGGCATTCTCCCGTTAGACCGGATTTCAGTAGACAGAGTCAATGGTATCTTAGCCGAAGAGAACACACGTGCAAGGCCAGACGCGTGTTCTGATCAATGTCCATCTTCACGATCAATGCCAAATGTTATAATCGTATCGTTGTACTCTATCGATCTAGTCATTTCTGCAAACAGTTCGAGGAATATCTTGGACACGTGGGACGTGCATAGAAACACATTAGACAAGATAATACACAGGCCTCCTACGTGAAGCGTTACGGACAATTTCCAAGAGTCAAGATCTATCTATCTGTCTATTTAGACTAAGATTCGGAACTTCGGAAGATTCCAGCAGAGTAGCCAAGGACGTTCACTGGACACCTACTAGTGCACCAATTTGCAGCGAAGCTGCCGATGGTCAAAAGGAACAATTTCGTTTCTTCCCAAGAGAAGGGCAGGGAGGTCGATTAATCTCCTCATCAGCCACATCTGGCTCCTGCATCTTTCAACGTGTCCCGGACGTCCTATACATTAAGAGATCATATAAGCACCCGATGGCTCAGGCTTAGGCAAATGATTTCAGTGTGAAATCAGTAAACGTGGTAGTCGCAAAGATTGCAGGTGGAAGGAGTTGGGAGGAAGTTGAAAATTTGGAAAAATTCAAACTTGCCGGTAGGAAAGTTGATAGCTGGAAAATTGGAAGTTGGAGTTGGAGAGTGGAATATGAGAGTTATGAAAGTTGAAAATTTGAATGCGGAATGTTAGAGTTGTATGTCAGAAATCAGAGTTGGAATATGGGAATGTGAAGTATAGTCGCGTTTAAAGTTGGAAAATGTGGGAATGTGGAATGTGGGAGTTGGTGTTGTAGAGATAGATACACGGGAAGGGGGTGGTGATTTGGTGGTTGGAGGGGAGTGTGGGAGAGTGTGAGACGGAGATGAGTTTCCTAGTGACAGGGAGGGGTCAAAGGGAAGGGCTCCGAGCACCGCGTTATTAGCAGGATGAAAATAGTTTATTGTCCAAGAAATTGCAGGGTGTGTTGATTCCTCCTTATGTGCTATTAATGCAAACCGGCGCGATGTTCCAATCCCCAATGATCGTATATTCAGTTACAGCCTGTTTCCTTGGGTCGGCCACTGTGCTGGTCTGACGTTGCTCCATGCGAATTTCCTCTTCCCCGTATCTATCAATCATACTCTAATTTTTTCCCCTTGATTCCTCATTGTGCGCGTGTACTTTTCTCTTATAACGTTTTCTAGGAAAGCAGTAAATCATGGAAAGTCTATCATCCGTCAGGCCGGTTTGGCCTGCGAAAACTCAACATCTCTAAATCATGGGAATCGTTACGATTTATTCGTCTCTTATTGCCAGCAAGTAACAGTACTGACGATCATCTTTGCACAATGGGATGAACTGTGCTCCAACGGAGGATGCTGGACCAATGCCAAAAATAGTTTTAACGTTGCGCGCAGAACTATGTACATAGAGTTACCCCTGTTTAAGGGGAGCCTTTTGGTTGTGTGTAGATTGGTGTCGGTAGGGGGTGGCCGGGTGAACCCAAGACCTTTAGAGCGGCCAGATCAATAGCAAGGACCTCGCCTTGGCTAATGCCGTTGCATTCGTGCCAGCAAGCCGAATCTTAATACTGTGTCGAATTTCAATATACAAGAATCTTACGTTACGCAGGTTTTACTGGCTCCAGGATATATTAAGCAAAATATCCTCGTTAAATATTCTTGGACTTTTTTAGAGCCTCTATAAAAGCCAACCGTATAAGCACCCGAGTCAACCGATATTACGAACCTCCATCAAGTAGCCACGTAAGGACGTAGGTGGAAGTCGACATACGTTATTTAAATATTACCCTTGACAGCGGGGGTGGCTGTTATTTCTATTTATAGTTTGTAATCGAACTGAATTTACCGAGGACAAGTTTCGCCTACGCAGTCAGCGAAGCCTCAGTCGTTGTATTCCCACTCTGCGAAAAACAGCCACTCCGTATAGGAATTCCACTCACGCTTAATGCCATAAGTCTATTAGAATACCAAATCGGGATTTGCTCGCAAAGTTGACGACCCAGCTACTCTCATCCCTTATCACAGCCACCATTCATATATCTGACGCAGCTCTCGTGGTCCCAGCGTAGGACGGGCAGTTTTCCATTTCTCAGATCGTAATACGTATGGAAAAAAAATTTCAAGAATTCCCATAGAACGTGATGCGAAATACTTATTTCTCATATTTTTTGCCCTTTACGTTTTTTCTCTCGTAAATTCCAATTAACCAAATCGTACAGCGTGGGCTGTACCTTGATCGACTGTAAAGATCTATTTTATTAAAGGGGATTGGACTCTCCTTCGTCCAATTTGAATTTCGTATTTACATAAAAGTAACTTCTGCTATCGTTTTCTCCTCAAATCCCATTAACTTACATCCTTTCTCATCAATGTGTATCTGCGGTATACGGAGCCTGGCAATAAGAACGTCGTTAATGTCACTTCAGTCGGTTTCACGGCTCAGAAGAAGAAAAGACCAGAGCGACTACTTTATTTTTTGCAACCACCCGAACGAGGCCTTCTCCCATACTATCACGAACTTCATCTGCTCTCCAGTATATTAAGATACTCATTTATCCGAGGGACACGTGATGGACCCGGTTTCTGCGTACGCTGCTCTTTTTTTGCTCTATTTATAATTACACGAACACGTGCTGCGTAGTATTGTCACAGCTGGATAAAAAAACAAGTGGGAATCTCGGGACTCCAGAAGCAGGGTGCAACGATCGATTAGAACGGAACTAAGAGACCGAAGCAGCCCGGGCGAAAGCCCAGTTGCCAAATTTACAAATTTCGCGGAATATCGTTGCTACTCAATAATTGTTATCAATAATTAATTAATTATTAATTGATACTTACTACGATGTCCTTGGGACAAGATGCCTGGTCACTAATTCTCCTCCACTGTTTCCGACGTCTTTGTATCACTGGACCCTCTTGAGTTTCGATGATTCTGCTATCCCAGTTGGAAGTCACTGATTTTTTTAATATAAAAAAAAACTATCCAGTCAACGATTCCTTATTACATTGTCACTCTGGAAATGCGTGTTTTCAAAAATAGTTTATACGAAAATTTGCCAATTTTCAAGTTAAGGATTGCTTATGGTGTCTTGTCAGCTGTCATTAAATCGCTAATCGCAAGTATGTCACGTTTAATGATTTTTTTTTCTTTTTTAACTTTCGCACGATAACGATTACTTATCGGTAACACTTGTTATTGTAACGTGAAACAACAAATCGTTACATAGCTTAGGGAGCAAATGCTCGGTCACATTTTCAACGATGCGCGTATCTCGCGTCTGGAGGCGTCACGACGACCTGCGTCGCTTTTATAGACCCGACGTCGTCGCGCAGACGTAGACACGCTGCCGGTGAATACCGCCTGATGAAATTCATCGCGCTAGCAGAATCTGGTTAACGGAGACGATTCTATCCTTTGCCAGGGATCAATTTTTCCAAGTCTCAGGAGGATTGAAAAATTCAATTTCCAATCAACAAACTTTTACGTTCCACTTGATTCCTCGCTTCATACAAAAGCTCCAAGTTTTAAATTTCTGCAAATATTCAATAGTCGTTTTTCACATTGAAAACCTAAAAAGGTCGACCTTGACATTTTCTACTCATGTCGTTCGATCGTCGATGTAGCCACACACCCCCTAAAAGCGTGGGCTGTGGGAAAATACGTTTCCTGCTTGTCTTTAGGACGGGTCCAAGACAATTTCATGAAGTGTCTAGAGATAAGGGATGACGCGCGGGAGTAAGCACGTGTCGTTAAGGGATTTGGCAGCCGGAATAGTTTGCGGGAGCGAAACGTCCTAGAGGGCTAAATATAACATGGCATATCTACAGTACTGAAACAACGTGCGATAAGGTCTACGAGGAAACCTGATGGTCTCTTATTCAATCTGACAGGTATGAAATAAACGAATACGTAATTTCCCTGAGACTTAGTCGTCCACTTTTTTTTTTCCTTTATCAAAGTATCGCATCCGATTTACGTCACGCGTCAGATTACCCTTCAACAATTTCCAAAAATATAAACTGAGCAATCGAACCGTACCGTCAGCCTTCAATTTTTTCTCTCCGTACAGTTCTGCGAAATGTGCGTCATTATAGCGAGAGATGAAAAAGTTGCACGTGACTATATCTACATTTCATTTTTTATTGGTCTACTTTCGAGCCACAAATAAAATCTTACGAAGTATAATTGGAATTCAATTTAAAATTATGTATGTCAAAGATTAGGGCTGATTCTTCTTACGAGTCACAGGATATAATGTATCTGACTTTTCTTCGAAAATGTCATCTTCCATTTCCCATTCTCGCTACTTGGCAGACTCTACATCACTTTCTGCGGACGGGACATTAGACGAACCAGAGGAACTCGAAGAACCACGTGAACTCTAAGAAGATGACTCTTCGCTGCTCGAGTCAGAGTCCGAACTGTATTCCGAGGATTCGTCGCAGTCTGTGCAACTGCAGGAATCGTAACTGAACGATGCACTTGCTGTGTCTTCGGGATCTTTCTTCGAAATTTTCTCCAAGTCGGTGTCCACTGTGTACAGGGAATAGCTGTTACTTTAATGAATAAATTTATATGAATCACTGTAGAACGACTTACGTTTAACGTGACCCAATTGCTGTAACACTTTGACGAATAGAATACTGAGCTTAATTATGGCTTTAGCTACTCCCTTATCTTGACGTGCGTTTCTTTTTTGTATTTTAAGCTTTTCTTGCAAATCCTGACGCTTTTTTGAGTCTCTCGTACACTTTTTTGAATCCTCTTTTTTTTCTGGGGGAAAGATACTATTGAAAGACGTACTGTGTATAAAATTTCTTTGCGATTGGTACCATCTTTATTCTTCTGTTGATTCGGTGAAAGCTTCGATTTCTTCATCTCGTAACGATTCACTTTTTTAACGATTCTTTCAATACTGCTAATCGTCTCCTCCTCATTTACTTTTTTGTTACGCTGAGGATAACACATCTTTCCAAAAGGACTTCTTCGAGTGATCAACGGCTACGACGCAGCTGGGATAAAGGGAAATGAGTGAAGAAAAGACACGATGATAGAATCAGAAATTTTCAGAATTTGCTCGAAAGTCATATTTTTAGCTCACCGTTGCTTTCTGGAAAGATCTCTCCGAGCCGTCGAGCGTATTTAAACGTGAATATTTTTTTTACGAAAACTGAAGGAAAATCCTTTCTCACGGTCTATCTTAACTTTTCGTTTTGTTATCTTTCGCTTTAGTTTCTTTTTTCTAGGCAGCCTCGAGATGCCGTCAAGAGACTCGAAGGTCCGCGCAATAAACACTTGAAAACTCGGACAATAATTAATCGGGAAATTGCTGTGAAAACATTTGTTGTTTACAGTACAAGTACTTAAATATACCAGTAACACAACTGAAATCCCAATTGGCACTGTTCGCTTCGAGACGTACCAGGTTGCCGTTTCTTCTATTCCGAAAGGTCACTTTTTCTTTTGTTCCAAAATTCGCTTATACCAGTTTAAAAATATTTTCGATAAATACAAATCGGGAATAGATAACAGACTTTGCTTGTATTTAATTTGAGTATGAAGTTTATTAATTAAAGAAATACACAGTTACGCCTTATCTTGTTGTCGTCGAACATTCTTTATTCTTATGGCGTAGCATTTTTTATTTTTTCATTTTCCATCTGATCGTCAACACACGAGTCTTCCTTGACTTTGCGGTGCTCTCTGTAGCTTATGGTTTCATTATCCGAATAATCCGAATCGCACGAGCCGCTTTTGGAAATACTTGAGGAAGTTGATGCTAATTCTGTGCTATCGGATTCGCTGTCATCGCTCGAATGATTACAGCTGTAATTGCTATCGCTGGAACTCGACGTATCTGTGGGAGAATCGAAAACCGAAGGACTCGAAGATTCCTCATGAGAAATTTTAACAGAGCTCTTGTTAACGTTGTCGGATGCTGCATCTGTAAAAGGACACAAGTTTCTAAGACATAAGTACGTGTCGCATAATCACGTAGAAATCAAAATCACTTGACCTACCTATTTTGCCTTCGCCCAACGGAATATTGAGACAACCGTTATTTTTTAGGGGGTAGAATATAATTTTCATTTTTTTTACAAATTTCTTACGCCTCTTTTCATTCGCTATATTATTTTTCCACGTAAAATCCGCTGAGCTCACAGAATCCGAATTCGAAGCTCCAGATGTCGAGGGTGAGATAGAACTCGAGTATAATTCTTTACGAATATTAACATCTAAATTCGTTTTTAATTTTATTTTCGTATCGTTCTCCATTATATTTTTCGTGGTCTAAAAAGATATTAAATAAATTAATGTAAGTTCGTAAAACTCTGTAAGACCTGATTCTAACAAAATCATGCATAATATTTTAATAACAAATTCTACAGATTTCAATCGACCTAGACGTCTTTGATAATTCTGTCAATATATTCTAAAGATACAACAATACCACAATTTCTCATGAAATATTCAGATCGAATAAAAGCTTACCTTAAAAATGTATTTATAACGTAATTCTCCAAGTCAGCCACAGACAGAAGTCGTTGCTTTGTAATTCTCCTCAAGACAAATATATATTTCCTCGCGAAACAAGCAGGTCGCGTAAATTGAATTGCACGGCAATTCTAAACCATTTTCGCAGAAAAGCCAGCAGTAGCTACACGGAGCAAGATAACGATACTAAGAATTTTATTAAAATATTATTACGTCGTCCTGACGATCCGCACGATTAGTCTGTCGCTCGTAACTGATCCTCGCTTCACACAAATATTGGAAATACACTTTGCGTCGGGTTTAGGATTATTTCTTCATTTGTATTGTCCGACGCAAACAAGCGTATTTCGTGAATGTGTACAGTAAATACAAACAGTAGCTATAAATCTTATATCATGATTTTTTTTTCTTGGCAAATTATTCGTCATTTCTATTTTTATATCATCGACCCCGCCTGGTCCATGACGTAAGGAGTACACTCTCTGAAATTTATAAAAAGACAGTCATCGCGCCATTCAGAACCGAAGCGTTGACAAGTGTGAACCTACGTCGCGATTTCAAGAACCCATTAAAATTCGAGGGCGAAAGTGTCACTTCCGAAAAGAACGACAGTCGCAGTGACTACTTACGTGAAAAATTCTTATAACACCTCAGGCGGCGTCACCAGTTCATTTCACCAAAACATTCGTGACATCCGCTTCATTTCCACGGGGGTGAAAATACGATGAAATTCGGAAGATACGAGTTTCCCTGAAATCGTCTATTTTCATTTATCCCAACATCGTAACAGGAGTAATTGCTGTGAGATACGAAAATAATAAGCTGCCATTTCTATTTGGCGACTGTCTACCGTTTATCGTGGAGTGATAAGAAAGATCACGATTCATAGAAAAAAAAAAAGTTCGAAATCGTATCCTTATCCATAAGCCAACAGGTGGGTAAAGATTGAATGGATAAATAAATAACAGGAAAGAACCGCGAGAAGGTATAACGACTCTGTGCAAAAGGTGCTGCCAAGACAAAAGTACCCAGGGCTGCGGATTCGCGAGAGTAGGAAGTCGCGAGAGCGCAGTGTGTACTAAACAAAGGAAAACGTTTTGGCAAACTGCCTAAGGCCTTCGCGGGATTCCCTCTTCCTACGGGAACTGGCAGAGCCTCCTGAGACTAGTCGGAATCATTCACCTACGGGAGTCGCGACTTCTCGACTCACGAGACTCACGAGAATCACGAGACTCGGAAGACTATTAATAATCGTATTCGTAGCCGAGTTGACTGTTACAGTGGATTCGTATTCTCGAAGGAGGCTTCGCGTGACAATAGGCAGTCCCCTGCGTCGTAGATCTTCTTCGGTTGGATTCGTGAATATCTGCACGTATCGCCACGTGCTCGGCCTTGTAAACACACATGAATCACGGCCAAGAGTAACATAGCGTCTAGTGAAATTCCCCATACGTTTGAGACAGCCGATATGAAAGAGAAAAAGGAAATTAAGGACAAAATGAAAACATTGAATTTTTCTCAAGTCTCAACTACGTCACCAAATGCCAAACAAGTATGGAGTCTATAACAGCCAATATGTGATTGCGATACCGGTTCTTTCGTGAGAGACACTTCTTGTTCCTTTTGCACCTTTCTTTTCTTCCTTACATCCCTCTTCAAGCAGACCGGTTTTGCGCCACCTTCCTGATGGATCTTCGCTTGGATCTTCTCCTTGTGATGGCTGGATCGACGCGCGAGCCTCTAGGCCAATTTTCACCCGAGGTTCGCAGCTCCGGTGGAATGGCAATTGCGAACACTATTTTTTTTAGCAATAGTTCTGAGGCATTCCCTCCGTGGGAAACGGCATTTTTGGAGCAGCTTGAATTATTTGAGAAACGCAGCCAGTGGTCGCCAGGAGGATTATGGACCGATGAGATTTATAGTCGGAGAGACTTCGATCTCGGCCAACTATGCGAGTCTGGCACGGTCTGACCATTGCATAACCTTCTCGTTTTATGGTTTTTCGATTGTGGATTTAAGTTTCTGTATTTTAAAGAAATAACTGACAGTCCTCCTTCGCGAGAGGCTGCGGGTAACGTCTACTTAGATACGTAGTTAATTGAAAGATCCAAAAATACAATTTTATCTTCACTCGATAACCTTGCCGAATTCTAAAAAAAATTCTCTTACGTGATTCGTACTGCATAAAATATTCGCAACAGTGTAACCTCGAGGAATATGGATATGCCAGAAGTACAGAAGAAAAGAAAAGACTCATGAAAACGTGACTGGTGACGTTCGAAAGAGTAATAAAAAAATTTCCACGGATACAAAAGCCAGGGAAAACTTGCCAAGAGATTTATTAAATCGATTAAATAATATTTGTTATTCCAAAGCATCGGACGGTGTTGGTCGACGAGGATTAATGAATTCTAAAAGCAATAATATGCCCATAACAAAAATCTCTACCAACGTCTCCATTAAACTGACAAGTCGTTGAGTTAAAGGTGGGTCAATAGTTTTCTGGCAATTGAGAAACGCAGACCTCTTGAGTAATGGCATTGTTAGAAACGAATGAAGAGTAAACTCATATATCCAAGAGACACTCGTAACTCCTAAACGAAATGGTAGGAGCCGCGCGAAATTCTCTATGATTTATAAGACAGCCAAGTCTTCGTAGCGCGAAGGATTTATGAATTCGCGAAGCGAAGACTCATCAGTTTTATAGTCTCGAACGTCCCGTCAGTCGCCACTCCGTATTTTCATGTCAGAGTGACGATGTTACAATGATACAAATATTTACCACACTGTTCCTTAAGCATTACCTGGTAAATAGAATGTTGATGCTACGTCAAACGAGAGTTTTACGCTTGAATTTCGTAAACGGAACTCTATTATTTGAGGTAATGAGCGAAAACAGTCCAGGTATCCTAATGAGTACGCCGTAACCATACATAGCAATAGACCTTTCAACGAGTAATGAGAAACGTCATGGAGAATTTGACTGATGGAACGTGTAAGAAATGTTTGACGCATTGGCAAATATTTCTGCGAGTTAACGGTAGCGGACTATACATAGTATATAGAAGCATAAGAGATGCGAGGTCTCTGCCCTGCGTCGTCGAATGGTAATGAACGTAACAGTTGATAGATACAAACGGATTAAAATCCTGTTCTAACAAAACAAAATTGAAAATTTCCCCCGGGGCGCAGGAGACGCACGAAAATAAAATGTTAATTCGTGTCGTAAGACCGGTGATGGTATATATAACAGTGTCATCGAGGATTCTGAGGATAGTTGCAGGCTACACCTCAACCGAACATGGTCAAGGTAAGCTGCGTGGAGAAGTTGGCGAAAGAGAAAAGTATTCGGTATAGTTTATGAAATTTCGGCTTGAGCGTTATCGAGCAATCCCCTAAGCGGGTGTTACATGCTACGGAAAGTTTTTCTTGTGAAAGTGTTATTTTTCTATTTTCGGATGGTTTTCATGAAAATCGACGACTGGCGCACAGTGAAAGTTGTGTTTCCTTAGCGAATGATATCTTCATGAAAACGTGTCGGAAACTTCAATTTACATTTGATTCATTGATTGTGACGAATGCTTGAACTCAGTTTTGGCTTCGTGCCGTTGGTAATAGTGAGGCGAGTGATTCGAGTAAACTTTTCGTTCCATGTATATATATATATATATGTAGCGGGCTTATGGGATCGATCAGCTGCTCGGTAGAGAAACAGGTTTATTTCCGGAATAATTTATATTCGCTGTTGATTCTACAAAAGCTGATACTAGTTTCTGTTTGAAAATTATACCTTCTGCTTATTCGTACTTTGCCTCGGTAATAATTTATTATAGCGAGGAGGATATTGTATGTTGTCTTTATTTTGCTCCAGGCATTCTTAGTACTTCTAGCCGTCTACGTGGTGTCCGGCGCACCAGCAGTACCGTTCGCACGGTATGGGTTACCTGGTGATAACGAGGGGGAAGTATTTCTGCCGACGGCCGTACTTCCGGGGGTGAAAAATTTAGAGGAAAAGTTCCTACCCCTTGAGCAGTTCCAGAGCCCTCCGGAAAATTTGCAAGGAACTAGAAACCTGGCTGAGAAGACGCAGTTGCCGGATACGTTACCAGGGGTGCGAAACTTGGCTGAGAAATCTATCCCGGAATCAATAACTCTGAGGAAGCTGCCAGCTCAAGTACCTGATTTTCCAAAATTGGAAGTCGAGAGTGTACCCGTATTACAAAACATCCCAGAACGCATCGAGCAGCCCCTGGTCCCTGTTCCTACACCAGACTTCCAGGTGGGTGAGGAAATCCTGAGTGACGCCATCCCGGGCCCTGTCGAATCCATTGAGGATAAAGCACCTGGGTCACTTATCATCCCCCCTGGCACCAAACTCAAATTGGAAGATGATCGTGGACAGTATTCTCACGGGTGAGTCATTATTAATAATTATCTAATGATTGTTAACAAATCCCGTTATTATGTAAGGTTACCAATATTTTCATTATTTTAGATTCTCAACTCCGGATGGTACTCAGGTGCAGGAAACTGGTCATCTGATCACTACCAACGGTGGCTGGGAATACGTAATCGCCAAGGAGGGTAGTTACAGCTACACCAGCCCTGAGGGTACTCCGGTGACTGTGAGCTACATTGCCGACCACAATGGATTCAGGATAACGGGACAGAAGATTGGCCGACGGTAAAGCTGTGCTAGTCGATAACCAGGTGGTCCTTACGTTTTTCGAAATTTGGAGCGTTCTTACCTACCGACGGTAGGACTTGAAGAATTTCAGTATCTCGACACCACTGAACGCGTAGACTGGTTATTCAAGAACGGTAAAGATTGTAAGGACTTTCTGTGGGGGAGCAGAGAGGAGACTTTTGGATTGAAAATAAAATATTGTACAGTGTGCAAAGCGTGGCGAGCGCCCTGGGTCTGTAGTAGCAGGAGTAAATATTTAAAAGACAACGAACATAATACGTAACACTAATCAGAGTATCGATAAGAGCTATCGAGAAGGAGAGTGGACACTTCGTATTACGTTCCGGCATCACTTGAACTCTTTTCTTTGTCATTTTCTTATTTAATTATAAACCGTCTTAGCATACCAATTTAATAAATTATGAAAGAAAGCACGTTTTAAAGTTTAAACCGACCTTGCGAATTTCAAGCTCGCGCGACTGTTTAACCGTAAGCTTAAGCCGCGTCGTAAGCTTGGCTTAAGCTCTAATAAACTAAACTTCCATAACGTTAGCGTGTATAGTTTATGCTTTTCATCCATAGTCCAACAGCAGTCGGAAGACGCTGACGGCTTCTTGATGATGTGATTGAATGAAATTTTACGAGGTGGTAAAAAAAAGAGGCCGAGAAAAGGGGAAGTGTGTGGCTCTTTTTTTCTTCATACTTTTTTGTTGAGCCTGAAGGAAAGAAAGTTATGGAAAATACCGTAGGAGTCTCGTACGCACATGTAGAGTCTTTCTCTTCAACTTCTTTTGCACAATGCAAGCTTTGTGCTTCGAAAAGTTTCGGCCGCTGCCAAAGCCAGTTCTGAAACAATTCTGAATCCTAAATAAATCCTAAGGTATGAATGGGATTGTGTAATGCGTAGTTGATTCTGCGTTGCGAGTGCCGTGAGCCAGTATTATGCCTGAATAGGTTCGATCATCTTTTATTTAAGCACGCGACATTAATGTATCTCCGTAGACTTGCGCCATACTCGTCAATAGAATATTACGTACTGAATGACAAAACAGAGAAGTCGGTTGCGTGAATTTCAGAACCGACGTCGTCCTTAATGCACTGAAGGTAATCCGATCAGTGAGCAAATTATCGACCAAGTCCAATGACAGAACCATTACGGAGAACCAAGAGATTCGAATTCCCGTTAATCGAGTTTGGAGAAAATTCACTCAGGTAAAATCCGAGTACTCGACTCGACTCTTTCAGTTACTGAAAATCTCATCGAAATCCTTAGATTAACGATTACGTGAATAACTGTGCATTTTTTTAAAAACCAATCAAAAATCCCATTCTATTATTCTTATTATTATCCCCACTCTTAATTCAACTTTATCGTGGATCCTCGAAGTTATTCGTTCCCTACGGTATGACCTTATAGTCGGTACCCGCTAATTCTCAAGTACTACCAAAGAGGTATACTATTCGAGCTGGAGTCAAGTTGTCGCAGGTTATGTTCGGCTAAGTCAAAGGTGTAAGGTCGTAAGACGACGCTGCGGCCGTAACGCATCACTACCTTCCTTTGCTAGGTTAACCACTTTCAAAGTTTAATGTCGAAGGGTGGTAGAATTCCGCGATTAAACTGACCAGTTCAAGCGTAACGACTTGGTCAGTGGTAACGGTAGCTGCTAGTTAGACGCTGCTTCCACTTATAGGTAGTAGCGGTCCGACTAGTAAAACACCACGACTACTACTACCCGCCAAAGGGCAAGTTTACAAGTGGCGTTTTCAACATTCCGTTTCAACAATCAAACCTATCGCACTGATGTGCATGTGATTAAATATAGATTGCGTTAACTCCCGCTGGACGCAATTAACTAGAATTTTCCAAGTCGAATAAATTTGACCTTCGAACATTCCAGGAACATTTCAAAACTTCATAAATAAAAAGTTCGTACGTGCTCTTTGACATCCAACTCGAATTAGGTACCTGAGCCATGGAAACTTTTGTCAATTGAAATATTAACTTTTCGTCAATCGTCCGAAGCAATGTATTTAAGAAATGGAAAAAAATGTAACAGGACAAAGTAACGTAAAATAGCATAACCGTAAAACCAGAGGTTTCCGGCAATCTGATAAAAGTTGCTGTTTAGCCAGGAGTTAATTTGGTAAACTAACTCATTTGTTGCCATCCACACGCCTTCGCCGGAACATCCCTTGCCACGTAGGTTCTGCACGATCCGTAGGATATGTTTCTGTTCCTACCACTGTTATCACTGCCACTACTGCTAGTCCCATTACACCTACTGCTCTTACTACTTGCACCGTTACGATCTCTTTCCCCTTTAACCAGCTATAACCATATGTATATGCAGTCATATACATACGCGTACCACCCCATTCTCAGTGACTCATAGTCACTCAGTCTCACGTGTGCTAAACTCCTCGAAAACCAACCCACCCCCGTCTGCCCCGACGTTTCACGTTCCACGTGATGAACAGTGTTTATATATCATAATTAGTCTTACGAAGCGGCGCGCACGAGGCGAGTTCGCAACCAGTCGACTCCCTGGGGTAACTGATAATAATTGTGTGTCGCCGACTCAGGAGCTTAATATTTAGCGATTATCGGATGAAAGTTCTCTCAGCCCCCCGCCCGTCCCTTTACTCGCCCTCCGCAATACTTTCATTGCAACTCCTCGCATTTTCTCACGCCTCGCTTGCTTCCTTACTCGGGGGACTGTACTATATAGCTTCTGGGAAATCCTTGTATACGTATCTATATGTTAGGGGAGTGGTTGGTTATTCTTTTACCGTGAAAGACAAAAAAAATGGGACACGTACAAATGCTCTTGGAAACGATTTGTTTTCTTGCTTCTCTTGTGACGTCATTGGATATCAAGACGGATCGTATTTCGTGGAATTAGGAATTTTTGTCTAACGTATGCGTTATATATAGATTTTTAGGTTGGCTGAAAAAAATTCAATGTTAGGTGTAAGCATTTTACTCTTTGGATGTCGCAGTGCTGACCACCTCATGGTTTGGAGTAATTGATGAGAAATTCTGGATTCTGAAGCGCATTAGTCCAAAAGCTTGATGCAGAGTAATTGTGTAAATGCTCAAGAGAAGCATCGCTTCTACGTTGGGTTCCGGATCGCACAGCGATACAGGAATTTCTGGGATGTAGGATCTATGGGTTGTATCTCCATGTCCGCGATGTTCGACCATTACGGTGATTACATTAGGTACCATAGCGCATAATGCTGGTACACGTGCTTTATTGAGTGTAATCCTATGGAGAAAGCCGTGGTTAATGCGTGGATGGTTGCAATCAATCTCGCTGATGTAATAACGAGTTATCTGACGCGTATTCGTAATGAAACTTCGCATTTTCATTTTTTTTCCTAATTTCTTTTTTTAATAAAATTTATTTCTCCTTGTCCCGAAACAGGGACAAATTTTCTTCCTACTTCAGTACATTTGGACGACCAGTTCTGCCGCCGACTGTAACCTGGATATTGGAAGATTGAGAATTTAAAAAAAAAAAGGGACGAATCTTCCGATAAATCTCGCTAGTGGTTAAAGGTTTATTCCTCTTCTTCGTCCGTTCGTTTCTCGGTAAAATAAAAAAGAAAAATGATAGAAGGCCCAGGATATACGTGCTGGGAATCCTGCCGTTTACGTGCCACCTGATCCAGTCTTTCTGGAACAGAAGCGAAGTCACCGCGAACTACGCGGCTAATCGACTCTCTCTGTCTCTTTAATTTTTTTTTTTAATTTTTCCACGATGCTTGCGCTCTTTATACTTTATTTGGGGAAAAGCTTCCGACATATACAGAGGGAAAGTACGAGTAGCGGTTTATAACCTTTTATCATTTTTCCCATATTTTTTATCCCTACGTACATGTATTCTCTCGTTATCATCCCCGTTTTAATGGGAGCCACGCGAAACACTCGACGCAAGATTTTCCACTTTGACCGCGGGATCCATCAAAGGAAATTTTCCCTTCGAGTGTTTTCATACTCCGTTGTGTCTCTCTTCATAATTTTCATACGCCAATGTTAGTTCTCGTACTTCATAGTCGTTCCCAGATTCAGTTAGGACTTTTTGTTACCTATTTTCCATGTATCTGCATGCACTCTACTATAGCTGTAATATCGGGTCAGGGTGGGTTTGCTCGAGCAACAGTAGCTTTTGCAAGCATCCTCCGTGCAGTTTATCACAGCTGCTAGACTATGCAACAGTCAACATAGGTGTGGGGTCAAGAACGTCTTAGCTTAGCTCAGGTCTAATGGCCCTGCATACCATCCCCTAACCATTCTCCTTACCTAGAGAACACACTGCCAATCTTTCTCAGATAGCGATAGCTACGAGCGAGTCGCGAAATCAAGTTAATTCACATAGACTTGCAAAATGTATTTTTTCAAAAATAAAATAGCTCCATAAGCTCACAGCCACATGCTACGTTGAACTCCTCAATCTCCTCTCCAGCTTACCGTAACACGAGGAGTCTTCCTCCGACCCATTTTCTCGATCCCTTCGCAATGACGCTTTCACTTGAGCAATATTTATTCTCCATGCCACTGGCACTTCGAAGCTTTCGCTCATTTCATATCCATTTTTTTTAAATCTATGATAAATACAGATAAAAGTATGTTCATTGTAAAACTTTGCTTGCTAATGATAAGAGAATTCTCGAATGCAGGATATGCAGGATAATGCAAAGATGGAAAATTTAATAAAGTTCTGCATTCCATTGTCATTGTCTTATCTACCGGTATACCCGCTACTGGTACTCCTCTGTCTCTCGAGGAATGAAACCAGTACTGTATGGGTTTAGCTGCTAGACTCGGGGTTAATAATTATTCGGGGTCGGCGGGGTAGAGTGGGACCAAAAAAATCTAATAAACAAGGAGCTACCGGGCACGTGCTTCGTCGGTGTCCTTCGTCCCGTTTCCCAGGCTCATCCGAATATTAAACTCGCTGCTCGCTGTTCCAAATGAAACTGCATTCGTCTGAAAACAGAAAGGCGAGTCACGCTTTGTGAAACGAGCCTGTTCCTCGTCCTCCTCACCTTCCCGATCCTCATCGTCCTCCCTTTCATCCTCCTCTCTACCTCCTCCGCTGCCACAATCATCAGAGGCACCAGTACTAGGCAGCCTTCCTGTGCTTATACATATATCTCTCGTTCACTCTGAAACTAAATTTGCACGTGCGATTTCGTTCGCGTCATTTTGCCAGGCCACTGCAGTTCGCTATACAATCGGCGATGCGTAAGTCGCCAGGAAATAGCACGAGAGCAAAGGCATACGACAGATAATTGTTACAGGATAAAATGAAATTTCTCTTTCGTACAAACTTAGGACGTTTCCTGTAGCAGAATCACTTCGTCTGCGAGGGATCGAACTTTCCTTGTTACTGGCCGCGTTATGCGGTTTCGATTTGGGGTTGAG